TTCAATTTGCATAGCTTGTTTTTTTTTTATCATTTTAGCAAACATTTATTTGAACAAGTTTTGGGATCTTCACAACAACAAAAGAACCTAAATTCAATTAAGATAAACATTTCAAATATTTTAAACAAACAGGAAATTCCGTCTGGACTTCGTTACTTTTTTTTAGTAATTGTGGACTTCTCCAGTTCTTAGATGCGTACATATAACCGAACTCTCTTATCTTTCTTTGTTGAACTATTCATCACAGTCGAACAGTACAATATGGTCATTAAGAAAAAGCTAGCACTATTAGAATTGCAAACACTATTATCTCATTTCATTTCAGTCCGCTTGCTCCTACAGTTCAAACACCTGTATCCACAACCAAATAAAATATACAAAGACAACTGATCTAATGCCATTAATCGCCTGCAGAAGAGTACATTCCTTTGATCATCTTCTTTCAATAAGCAAAATGTAAGAAAATTAAACAATTAAAAATCATCATTTACCTCCTGGTCGTTCAAAAAGTTCCCGAAATGACATCAACGCTTATTGTGACGTAACACATTTCGCACGATTACCAGTCACATTTTTTCCACCGGAAGTAGATCTACCTGAATCTATATAACGTGGCACGGTTTATACAGATTCGATAAATAAGCAGAAAACAAAACCAACCTATTTACAATGTAATTGAGCACCAAAATTTGCAAAGAAAGATAATGGTAGCACGTCTACTATGCATGGTCGTGTTGTGGCACCTGTCATGTGCGGTTACACAACAGTGAAAAGACAATCAGGGATACCAGGATTGAAATATTGACGCTCGAATCAACAAAATTAAAAAGGTCAAATAAAGTACGAAGTTGAAGAACATTGAGGACCCAAAATTCCTAAAAGTTTTGCCAAATACAGCTAAGGTAAACTGTTCCTGGGGTAAACAATCCTTAGTATTTCGAAAAATTCAAAATTTGGTAAACATTTAATTTATAATCATGACCATATCGATGACAATGTGTGTCAACACAGTAGTGCTAACTATTAAGCTAGTTATTTCCTCGAGAGACCAACTCCACCAGCAGTGGCATATAGAACATATATAAAAGTAACCCTACTGTGACTAAACTAGTGTTTTTGATGTTGTTGTTTAAATCAGCTATTCACCTATACATAAACTTGCACTCAATAGTATTTAAATGAAGACTATTAGTAACCCAACATGCTATTTTTAGTGATAGGGGACTTCCCAAACATCAAGTGTCATTATAAGACTTTTAACATTCAGTTTGGATGAAAATAAGCATTTAGAGGGTTGATACATGTATAATCTGGATATTCATGGTTTTTATTAAGTTACTTAAGGTAAGCTATTTAGAAGCTGTGGAAATTTGGTTGAATGGAATGTATAGGGATTTTGAATTGGTGTTCTGAATGGAAAATAAGCAATTGTCATTTTAGAAATGTAATTACGTTTTTTTACTTAGACATGTTAAGTTTTAGGATTAAATCTTGTGTTACAGGTATATTGTATTATCTGGCAAATTGAAGTTTGCTTTGGCACAATATGGTGATAATAAAATATTCTACCAAGCAGATGAAAGGCTTATTTTTGATGTTAAAATTTACCATACACAACTTTGGTTAAGAATTCATGATTATGAGGATGTGAATAAATATATTTATTCCAAAATGAAAATACACTTGTATTTATTACTTGGAGTGTTAATATGTTTGGAATTCTTGCACGTTCCAAGAATTTGCAACGATCATAAAGTGTGTATTTTTTTAATTTTTAACGTCGGTTGATTGCATTCGTAAATTCAAAGGGTAAAATTATATTTGATTGTTCAAATTCAATTAATAATTGATAAATATTCATTTTTTAATAGATCATCTCGAGGAATCTCCACATGTAGTTGAGTATTGCTATGATGTATTAATGGTCTGTATGAAAAAAAAAGTTGCGTTATTTTCTTTCTCAGCAATTACAAATAATTCTTAATATTTTCTTTTAAGCTTCATTTAGAAAGCAACATGTAAACTGTGGATCTCCATTTCCGATTTGTCACTTATCTTCTTCAGTTGTTCTTTCCGTTTTCTGCATACATGTATTTGTGTTTCTCCTTTGATGCACGTTTAAGAAATGCTCTTTATATTTTTTAAAGATTCTTCATATTAGGTTGCAATCTTCATATTTTTAAGCTATACCATGTGATACATTTTCAGATCCATGACACATCCTGCTTATGATTCCTGATATGTTTACTGGATACGTGCATTTTCTATACATTGATGCATGTAGAAATTTTTGTTATATTATATTTTCTGCTGCCTGGTTTAACATTGTTTTTAAATCAATCCTTTCACTCAACAGAAATATAAGGTTCATAAATCAGAGAGCAGTAGCTAAAACTGTATTTTGTTATTAATGGTTATAGCAAGATTAAAATGTAAACAATAGTTAAAATAAATGTGGTATGCCCAACCACATCTACCCAAGACTTGAACAAGCCACTAGGTTTTCGGGCTACAAAAGCCACACAACATAATAGATTATTCTGATGAAGTAACTAACCATACATATAACTTAATATATGTATGTGACAAACCCTTTATTGATTTGTAATACACAACTAAAAATCTAAACCTTTAGTAGGGTATTAGCTGTCAAATTCATGTTCGCGGATTCCATTCAAATGCTCATATTTGATCTATAACATACTAAAACGTTTATCCAACTTACAAAACTTCCAAAAGAAACAATAAACAGTTCATGAACTGGTTACCGGTATAATGTTTCAGAATTTTATGTGTATTTTAGACTAGACACAATCAAAATGACAAATTAACCATCAAGATGACCTCTGAAGTATGTAAATGGTATACGACCCAGCATAAACAAAAATATAAATAACAAGAATGTGTCCATAGTACACGGATGCCCCACTCGCACTATCATTTTCTATGTTCAGTGGACCTTGAAATTGGGGTCAAAACTCTAATTCGGCATTAAGATTAGAAAGATCATATCATAGGGAACATATGTACTAAGTTTCAAGTTGATTGGACTTCAACTTCATTAATAACTACCTTACCAAAAACTTTAACCTGAAGCGGGACAGATGGACGATCGGACGGACGAACGAACGAACGTATGCACATACCGAAAAACATAATGCCCCTCTATTATCGTAGGTGGGGCATAAAAATAAACAGACAATCACGTGTAATTGTTTAATGACAATTTTTTGAGACTGTTTGATTTCATGTCATAGATTTTTAAAAATATAAATCATTTTACCTGTATAAGAATGATTTTTGTGCGCAGATTCAGTCAATAAAATGATTTTCCTGGTGGCTCCCTTGATTTACTTTTCATTGTTGACATTCTTTTCTTTTTTAATATTAACATTCTAAGCAAATGCATAACCCATCTCCAGCTAGAGTCAAATAAAAGGTCACATGAATAAGAATTCAAATTACGCTGAATTATTGACTTGCAAGCCAATAATAAATCAGAAATGTTTTGGGCTTATTTTGACCAAATTGAACCAAACTGACTAATAATAGCGAAAAATGTTTCAATATTCCGCCTTTATAAATGTTTGAATAAAAAAAATACACATTTAAAGTTTTTTTGTGTCTAAACCTTTAAAGGTACTGCTGTTACCAGAAAAACAAGAATGTGTCCATAGTACACGGATGCCCCACTCGCACTATCATTTTCTATGCTCAGTGGACCGTGAAATTGGGGTCAAAACTCTAATTTGGCATTAAAATAAGAAAGATCATATCATAGGGAACATGAGTACTAAGTTTCAAGTTGATTGGACTTCAACTTCATCAATAACTACCTTGACCAAAAACATTAACCAAAAACTTTAACTGGAAGCGGGACTGATGGACGAACGAACGAATGGACGCACAGACCGAAAAACATAATGCCACTAAGTTGGGCATAAAAACCTGTTTTCATGCTAACTATGTTGTTTTGGAATTCACTAATGAAACAATGTTAAAAACAATACTATAAATAATATATACAGACAAATATTTATTGAATTTTATTTTTAACTTTTTAACCCATTATTTTTCAACAAAGTCAAATCTTTCACTCAGTCACTGTAAACATAAACATTTTAACCCTGATAACCACTTACATTCAAAAACAAACAAAGCTAGAAGTTTCTATTTTAAATTTGTCATTCCAAAATAATCACATTTTCACATAACTGTTCAAAATACTTATCTAATTATTAGTACTATATTACAATTATTAATAACCATAAGCAATTTAATCTTTTCTAAACCTAAAATATAAATGCTCAATAAATGTTGAAGGTCTTACTGCGACCTATACTTACCTACATCTTCTTCATTTAGATTGATTTGATTGATTTTTGGTGTTTTAACGCCACTTTAAAGCACCGCTTTTAGGCTATTTCGTGGCGGCCAGGTTTTATTGATGGAGGAACCCAGAGTGGCTGGAGAAAACCACAGACCTTCGATAGGAAAACTGACAATCCTAGTCAATTAAGATTGGAGTCAAGTGCACCCGCACGAGCGGGCTTCGAACACACAACCTCAGTGTTGACTGGCTAGTGATTACAGTAGTAACTACTTAGACCACTCGGCCACTGAGGCCCCTCTTCTTCATTTAGTCTCTGGTGGCTAGTTGTCTCATTGACAACCATACCATATCTTCTTTATTCTTGTATTTACTAGGTTGACATGTGTTGCCACTTGTGTATGATTATCAGGACAATTTTACGTATGTGTATTCAGTTAACGAATGACTAAAACAAGATGTAAACAATGATTTTTCAACCCAAGCCATATCATGAAAAAAAATGTGTTTCTAATAATCCTTGTATCTATTGGATTTGAGTACTATGGTTAGTTTTATTAAATTACAAAACGTTACTGTTGCCTGTAGTTCAAGTTGATGTATTATAAATGAGAATAATGTTGTTTCTAGCATTGAATACGCAAAATAATAACTTCTGTTAAAGACAAAGTACCTTAAAATTCTTTTATTCATGAGAAAACCACATTATATCACTTTATCCCAACAAATTAACTATTTATCAACTACAGATAACTACATTTTCTGGTTTTGAAGTTGTTATTACATTGAATATCCAATGGTCTGAAAACAATACAGTTAAAGCAAACTTTGTATGATTGACCATATCATATATACTTTTTTACATAAAAAAATATGCTGCAAATCAGAAATGCAAAATGGCATAATGTGACATAAAGCAAATTTGAGGTACATCCACTTCTTTTTTGCAAATACAATGTTGTACATTGCAATCAAGCAAGAATGTTGTACCATGCCATCAACCACTTTTGCATTATGTCATGAGAAAAACAATTTGGCAAGTTTTTGTTTATGTTTGAGATTCTGATTGATAATCTATGTGTGTGTATTCTATGTAAAAAAAATTAACAGCTTGATAGTATAAACTATAAATGTTGTGTCAATTGCATATAAATTATCAGGTCCATTTACTCAATATTGAAACTATTAATTATTTTTTTAGCGAAAACGAAATAAACTTTCAAAATTATGATAAAAATCATTATCTGTCAAAATAAATCCTCAAAATGAAGTTTGAAAATATTCAAATATTTACATGATATTTTATTGAGGCAAAATTGAGTTTGTTTGGAATGTTGTAAAATACACTAATTTTCCCTCAAAAAGTTCCAAAACTCTACAATGTACTTCTTGTTGAATGGTACTAGGGAAAGATAATATTAACTGATTTCTACCAATTAGAAAATCTAAGCAAAACATCCAAAATTGCTACAAAGTATGTGTACTTTCATTGAGAATGATGCTTAAAATTACTTAAATTGTATCATCATTATGAAATCAAATTGAGGAGCCCATATTCAATGAATATGAATATTTAAATTGCTTTATAAAAATAAGGAGATGTGGTATGAGACAACTACCCACCAAAGTTCAAATGAAGTGGATTTAAGCAATTATAGGCAACTGTACGGCCTTCAACAATGAGAAAAAACCATACCATATAGTCGGCTATATAAAATTTGTAAGGGTTCCGCGGAACCCAGTGTCTCGCCTACTTTGTTGTTAATCACAGGCTCAACAAAAATGAGAAAAAAATTAATAAAAATATTCCTCTTTATACTATCTTTTGATTGTAAGTAGCTTCTGTCCAAGTATGGTAAAAATCCAGGATAGTTTATGAATCTAATAAATGTTTTAAAAACTTAAACTGCAGACTGTATGTAATGTTAACTGGAAGAAAAACTAGGTCCATTTATAAGTAAAATACGGAAAAAATGGAACAAAATTTTAACAAAATTTCTTTCTAGATACTAGCTTTTAATCATAAACAAGCTTCAAGTTTGGTACAAATACAGGATAGTTTAAGAAAGTTGTTAGAATTTTAAAAACATTAACCACAGAGTGAATGTAATGTTAACTGGCAGAAAAACTAAGTCCATTTATAAGTAAAATACGGAAAAAATGGAATATTTTTTTTACAAAATTTACTTCTGGATACTATCTTATGATCATAAACAAGCTTCTTTCCAAGTTTGGTAGAAATCCAGGATAGTTTGAGAAAGTTATTAAAATTTCAAAAACTTTAACCACAGAGTAAATGTAATGTTTCTTGGCAGAAAAACTAAGTCCATTTATAAGTAAAATACGGAAAAAATGGAATATTTTTTTTACAAAATTTACTTTTGAATATTATCTTATGATCATGTATGATCATAAACAAGCTTCTGTCCAAGTTTGGTAGAAATCCAGTATAGTTTAAGAAAGTTATTAAAATTTCAAAAACTTTAACTGCCGCCGACGGAATGTAGGATCGCTATGTATCGCTTTTTCGACAAAAGTCGAAGGCTCGACAAAAAGGCCCCAACATGTTTAAATTGGTATCCTTTATCGAAAATATAGCAGAATTGACTTAATTACACCATTAAGAAAATTTGCAATTTCTCTCCTAATGTGTACACAAAGTGACGAGCATATCTTCAATGTACCAACATGCATTCTCCTAGATTTAAAGGCTTAAAATTTATTAAAGGATGAGTTAATTATGGAAAATTGTAGCCTTCATTGAGAATGCTGCTGACAATTTTACTGAGCTTGAAATGTGAAAACATTCACCATATATTCAAAATAAAAGTGCATATCTTCTTTGTTTTTTCAACATTCTACAAAGTTTGAAAGCTCTTGATCATGTTTCATGTAACTGTAGGCTTTGATTACATGAAACAGGCGGGTACCCTTCTCTCTCATGTTTCCACCTTTACTGCTTGTCCACCCACCTACCAAACATTCATCATACTAGAAACTGTATTGCATTTTGTTCACATCAGCAAATTATTTGTCAAAACCATAATGTAGCTTACTCTTATCTAACTTAAGCTTTAATGATAACTGTATGAGTTTCTAATCTATCAAATACAAATTTCAGTTATCATAGGAAATATGCAGATGGGCAGTTGAACAGATTGATAAACAATGATAATTATAACCTTTGTTGCAAGGAGTATACAAATAAAATGCAAGATATCAACATTTATGATTTAATTATGCAATACAAAATATGTGTAAAGCTCCCTTTTGAATAAGCTATTACAATATTTACAAAATGACTATCATCTAATAGGACTAGCACTAAAAACATAAAATTACATAATCATTTAACAAAAAAAAAAAAAAAAAAACCTTCTTGAAGAAAAGAAAACATTTACAAATTTTCATTGTAAAATATGTAACAGATGAAGTATCTGAATTTCATTGAATTTCATTGTTGTCCTATGCTAAAAAGAAATACTGGAAAAGCTACAAAAAGAATCTAATAGATAATTCACCATAAGTCTCCAAATCTAAAGGATACCACAGAACTAACTGTATTTTGGGTTTTGACTTAAAAAATTGTACATAGCTTAATTTACTAAGAATAACATGTAGATCATATCAATCCAACTGTTGCAAAAGTGTATTTATTGACAGACTAAGTTAAATCTATATGCCAAATTATAGTCATACCTGTGTTCAAAAAGAATTTTGTTATTTTGTCATTATTCATATAATTATATATAAAGAGATGTCAGATATACATAATTAAGACAGCAACCCAACAAAGCTAGCTGAAAGGCAAATAGAGAACAACATAGTTTTCAACAATGGACAGTTGGTTATAAAATATACATAGCAATGAAATATTTGCCATGAATTCTCAACGGATCACCAACCGGTTAGGCAGTTATAATGTTCAGTTTCCAATTTCTTAATCTAACATGGTGATTTCAAAGAAAAGGATGTTCAAATAGATTATAGATAACAATGATAATAGGTCAGACTTTGAAAATATGTCCAGACTACCTGCATAAGATGAGTGATACCCATGACATGTTATCAGATACTGAATAGGTTTAATTTCATTTAAGATATTTGAATAAAACAACCTCAAATAGTAAACATTACACTACTGTAAACAAATTTTCAGGCTAATTTTGTAAAATGCTAATACAACATGTGGACAGTTTCCTTGGAAATTGCAGAAAATAGTACAATATATATATGTATACAATTGTTCATCTATTTTCTAACGTACAGATATATGTATGATATTGTACATTATGACACCAAACCATTTGAATCTATGCCCAACTTCTTTTGAAGGTGTATTGCATTTTTCTTAAAATCTCGTTCCATTTCTTCCATAGTTTGAAGTTCTTTAACAAATTTATCAACATGTGCTGGTCTCTTTGCTGGTGCAGACTCAACCCTAACTTTTATTGGTGGATTTCTGTATTCTTCAATATCAAAATCAGATGAATCATCATCAGAATTTTCACAAGCATTGTCATTTATATCAATGTGTTTCTCATCTTCAATATCTTGATTACTGGTATTGACTTGGAATGTGGGAAATGGTTCTAAAGTCTTTCTGCCCATATTTGGTTCACTAGCAGATTTTAAGGTTGAACTTTTCTTTCCTGGAGTCTTTGCTGACACTGGTCTTGTCGTTTCAAATTTCATTGGCCTTTCTGACTTCTGGGTCATAAATGCTGCAATAAATAAAGAAAAAACAATTATCAATTGTTATCTGATAAAAGAATGTATTATATTCAATATGTCAATTGCAGCATTGATACTATAGAAAAATTCCTAAAGTAGTTCAATAATAGCAAGTACATTACTTCAATCCTATGTGAAATATTCTGAACAATTTTTTAAGGATCTAGGTAGATTTCTGTTGGAGGAGATAATTACACAAAATAAGTACCATTAACCATTCGTAAAATTTTCTGAAAAAAAATTCCAAAATCCAGAAAAAATGAAAAAACAATTACATTATAAAAAGTGTAAACGTCAATGTGTGATCAATCTTTCCGTGATATATTTAGGACCTACAGGCAGGCTGAAAATAATAGAAGCTGATTACGTAAAATACTAAATAGGTATGACATCACCATATGTTTTTATTTCAGTCCTGATTGACGATAAACAGAATAAGATAATATATATGTTCAGCTTTTAAACTTTTAAAATCAAATTCGTTTTGGCTGTTACAACTTACTGCATATTGAAAATTTAAAGAATATAAAGTTACACATGTTTCTCAACTCTCTTTGTTGGAGTCTCCAAACAAATTTTTACAAAGCAGAATGCTTTCACGGAATTATGAGAATACAATGACAGAAACTTACTTCCATGTCCACTTTGTGGTCTGGACTTTGATTGCTGACCTCTAGGTATAAATGCACTAGCTGGTCTCTGAGGTTTTCTGTTTTCATTATCTGGTCCAAACACAGCATCAAGGTCAAATAAACTTTTCTGTAAAATTGAAAGCATATATAGTCAATTTTATACACATTCAGAATGGCATAGTCAAATATGGAAGACAGTGAAAGCTATCTTTGATGTACTATAGTCTTAGTTTGGTGGTCATGCAATGAAATTAATATGATTACTCTTCCATTGCAAGTGATAAAGTGGAGAAGACGTTGAAAAACTTGTGTCTAATCTGTTTGTCCTTTTTGAACAATAAAATATGTTTAAACTAAGTGATAACAATTATATCTTTTACAAGTGCTCAAATCATCTTTACTTTATAGTAATTTCATCTTTATGTATCAGACTTTCATTTTAATCATTTAATCACATGATAATCACATTTTTTATTTGGATTTGATATACATCACAAGTAGATATCCAATATGATAGAATGATTATGTGCTGGGCAAACACAATCTCACCAGATTAATAAGTTCAAAGAATCATAACAAAAGTAAACTGATAACAATTTCTTGTGGATATGCACATCTACATATTATGTCCTTATTAACTACAAAGTTTCATGAAATTCTGTTGTGTGTTTAAAGAGGAGTTTCACTGACAAACTGTTGCAGTAGTATATTCAGGTCAAAATTCTAAGTTCAAAGGGGCATAATTCCTAGGAAGAAAACATTGAATCATAATTTCCTGTCAATATGCACATCTACATAGTATGTCCTTATTACCTTCAAAGTTTCATAAAATTCTGTAGTGTGGCTTCAGAGAAGTTGCTATGACAAGAACAGGACTGACGAATAGACTGACAGAAGGTCAGGTCAAAAACATTATTCCCCGAAGCAATTTTGTTGCATGGGGTTAGTATTTCTTGAGATTGAATCAATTTAAGAAAAGAGATATCTTATGATGTCTGACATATGGACAGACATTAATGGTAGAACATTATACATTTATTTCCCATGCCTGAGGGAGATATGAAGATTTGTTCACCCAAGAAAATTCATATTTCAAGAGGGCATCAGTACCGATCAAAATTTAATTATTTATTCTTTTTGTTTTATTTTTTAATCTGAAATAATTTTAAAAATGAAATTACTATACTATCTCTAAAATAAACCGATTCAAAAAGTTATAAACATTAACCGCACATAACACCGCACACTGAAGTCCCGACATTCAGAGGGGAATATGAAGTTTTGTTCTACGTCACATGGAATAGTCTCAACCAATCAAATGTTGATTTCGATATCAATATAAACATGCAGTGGAATAAAATACATCATACCTAAGAAGGAAATATAAAAAGGAACCGATATATGATTAATCTACAACAGTTAATGTATACTTTTTTATTTTCAATAGTGTAAATCAATGTAAACTTTCTAATAATATTGTTGGTTTAACAGTGTAAAAAGAATTGAATTTCTTCCACAATATTACAAGTTTATTTACCAACCTGACCATATCTTTGTGGATCATCATAATCTAATCTATTCTTTCCATAAGGTGTTCCACTATTTTGAACATTCATCTACAAGTATATAACAGTCAGATTTTTGAAAAGTTCAATCGTAATATCCTACATCCAAGCTAACTTTACATTTTTATTCTAAAAACAAATCCATAGAGGATCAACTTTCAATTTCTTTTATTTTGTTGATGGTGCATTCACAAAATATGGCAATATCAGACAATAACTGAGTGAAATTAAGCTGCACATAATTATACAGTCAATCATTCCAAAATACAAGGATCTGATTTGTCCATAACCTACTGCTTTCAATATGTCCTAAGTTTGTATGATCTCCAAGAATTCTTATTTTCACTTCCCATATTCATTTTGGTTTGGTTTCCTGTACCTGTTTCATTTTTAATCATTTTTTATTCAAATTCTGTGATCATTTAATTTACATCAAGTTTTTTTAAAATCATCTTTTATCTAATTATTCTGTTAACCAAGGGCTAGCATAGCTTACTATACAGTATGAATTTGGTTCATTATTCAAGGCCTTACAGAACCTTATAGATGATTCATCCTCATACTTAAGTCTCTGGTTGACAGTGGTCTCATTGGCAATCACACCACATCTCCTTAATTATATTCATATGAATGTGTTTAAAATCATACAAAATACATTGAGATAAAAGAACAGAGTTCCGATGTCCCCATATTGCACAGATCTTATCTATCCAAGGGCAATAACTAAAAAAAAAAACGTTTTTTGTTGTTCTTAAAAACTTTATAAATATCTTAAGAGAAATAAAGGCTTGAGAGCAAATACAATGCAATTTCAAATAGAATTAATATTTCAAAGGGGCAAAACTCTTTCAAAAATATTTGATCTGCACTGATTTTCGAACTCATCTGAGACATTGCTTATATAAACCTTTGATTTAAATTTGATAAAATTCTGGCAAAAATAGTGTGAGAGCGCTTACAATGCAATTTTCCATATAATTAATATTTCAAAGAGGCATAACTCTTTTAAAAATATTTAATCGTCACTAATTTTCGAACTTGTCCCCAAGACATTGCTAATACTAACCTTTGATATAAGTTTTATAAAAATTATGACAAGAACTGTACACGTGAGAGCACTATAAGAAGACCTGACAGACAGAAGGACAGATGGACACCCGATATTTCTATGTCGCCCGCAACACGTCATGCTGGGAGAAAAACATTAATACTAGTCCTAGATTAATTATTAAATCATATTTTTATGAATTTTCTTTAACATAAACTATTGAAGTGTACACCTTCATTGAACATCTAAGTACATCAAATTCACAACTTTTTCACAATTTGTTTGATAATAGAAAGTGACTACCACAGTTGAAAATAGGTCATAACAGGTCAATTCCTTTCTTAGTATAACATTGTAATGATCATTAATCTTAAGAGGTTATTTTAAACAAATGTCTGAGATATTGAAAAGAACACTCACAGATTTTGTATTTGTATCTGTAAAAGGAATCTGTGGCTCTCCACTTCTATTTGACACAAACAGGTCTTTCATTTTGACATTTGCCCCATTTACCATATCTTTGGCAGTTCTAGGTCTTGCTGGTGCAGATTTGACCCTCTGTTTTAAGCCTCCTGTCTGTTTAGTCTACAAACGGTAGAGAATATCAAAATAATAATCTTTAAACTTCTTGTAAGGTTGCACTCTTCTCCAAGTGTAGGAGTTTTTAAAAAATGCTTTCCTCGTTCATTTTTTATATCAAACACAGTGTATCCATTAATTTTCTTTGGTACCAATTTTTGTGGATTAAGGAAAAATTATAATTTCATGAATATTTGATTTCATAGTTTTAACAAAGTCAGCATACACTCCTTAAGAAAAATTACTGGGTTGAACATTCAAATTAAATTTTTTGGTTGACCTATATCAATGGAAATTGATTACTTACGAAAAATAACGAATCCACAGTACAATGATAACAAATGATGCCACCCTTACTCATCTCTTTAAAAAAATATGACCTGAGAAACGAACAATACATTTTGTGCCGTTTTAGGTTTGAACAGTCAGGGGCATTACTTAAACAAGTAATATTTTTTAGTTACTTATATAGGTAATATTTGTTTTTGAAAATTATTAAATTACTCAATACAGTTATTTTATATTTCAATAAAAGCATGGACTAAATGTAGTTTTCATAAATTTTTAAAAATAATGACAAAAATATTACTTGAATAAGTTATTTTATACATCTTTGAAAGAATTAGTAATTATAATTATTCAAGGAACATATTATGTAATTGTTTTGGGTTACAAATTATAAATAATTTTAAGTCTTAATTAAAGCACAAGTTTCTTTCTATTTATATCTGTCTACCTTCAAGATATTCAAGGAAAATGGTATTTTAATAGTCCCATGAGACCAATCTTTGACCAAGAAGCGTGTAAGTGCGTTGGAAAGGCAATTAGTGTTTCAGGAGGATTTATTTTTATATTTCATGGGAAAAATAACCAGATGACTGTGAAAATTTGTTTAAGCTAGTATAATCTGTATTAATGGACTCCTATGAAAATAATATTTAGAAAAGTTACTTATATAAGTAATATTTAATATAGCCTCGTTTTCAACATTACTTGTATAGGTTATTTTAAAGTTACTTGTTTAGGTAATGCCCCTAACTGTTGAAGCTAATGTTAATGACATTTGATAATAAGTATATTTGAAGCAGAAAGGTGAACATATAAAGTTCCCAAAATTAAGCTAAACATTTTAATTAGATGCAAAAAAATTCAAGCAATTCTTAAATATTTAAGATACATAGTGTTGATATATAATTGATTCAGTTTTAAACCCCTTGAATCTTCAATGTTTTAAATCAGTATAATTGTAATGGAATTTAAATTACTTACTTCAAAAACAGGATTCAAGATTAAAAAATTAGTTTTTGGAATGGTCTAGTGTAATAATTGCTGCAAACATCGACAGATTTTCTTAAAGACTATTCCATTTATACAAAAATTATATCAAATAATGACACAATAAAATAGGTTTCAACATCAAACATGCATGCCCAATCTACATGATCTAATAGTAGTAAATCTTTTAAAAGATTTATCCAATATTCCTAATAATATCCTTGGATGCCATGTATGTTTAAATTGAACAGTACTATCTATCACTTTTATTAAAGATACAATTTCAAAAGAACAAGTAAAAAAAAACAATCTGTGATTTTCTTGTTGGCATTCTAAATATATTTACATAAAATAAGTTGACAAAAATCAGCAAATCATTATTCAATATTGCAAAGAAACATAAAAATTGAAGTATCTTTTTTTATAATAAGTGATCCTTGACTAACAATGCATGTGGGAAGTGCTTCCTGTTTAACTCTATCGTGTTTATATCTTTTTCAGTCTTTCAGTGCTCATACCCTTTAAATGTTATCAAATATATCATATCATGCAAAATGTTTATATTTTTATCTCTTTTCATGTGAAAAAGCAAAAATACTTATATCATAGTGAGAGAATAAAATTGAGAATGGAAATGGGGAATGTGTCAAAGAGACAACAACCAGACCATAGAACAGACAACAGCAGAAGGTCACTAACAGGTCTTCAATGTAGCGAGAAATTCCCGCACCCGGAGGCGTCCTTCAGCTGGCCCCTAAACAAATATATATACTAGTTCAGTGATAATGAACGCCATACTAAACTCCAAATTGTACACAAGAAACTAAAATTAAAAATAATACAAGACTAACAAAGGCTAGAGGCTCCTGACTTGGGACAGGCGCAAAAATGCGGCGGGGTTAAACATGTTTATGAGATCTCAACCCTCCCCTATACCTCTAGCCAATGTAGAAAAGTAAACGCATAACAATATGCACATTAAAATTCAGTTCAAGAGAAGTCCAAGTCTGATGTCAGAAGATGTAACCAAAGAAAATAAACAAAATGACAATAATACATAAATAACAACAGACTACTAGCAGTTAACTGACATGCCAGCTCCAGACTTCAATTAAACTGATTGAAAGGTTATGTCTTCATCATATGAATATCAGGTACAATCCTTCCCGTTAGGGGTTTAGTATCATACCATCATAACATATATGAGAAGAACATAACCCTTGTCATGCCAACAACTGGTTTTTAAATAAATGTGTTTAGTGCCGATGCAAAGACCCATTAAGTGAATCAATATTAACGCCAAAATATGCAATCTTTAATGACCTGACAACAGTATCATAACTATATCCCTTCTTAATAAGTCTATTTAAAGGTTTTGTTAGCTTCAGAGGTGAATACTGACATTTTTGTGCTTTATAAAGAATATTTCCATAAAAAATTGGATGTGAACTACCTGAACGTGTAAGAAGTCTGCATGTTGAGCTATATTTACGAATGATGTCCTTATACCGATAATAAAATTTAGTAAATGTTATCTTTTACTTTGGCCTTGTTGTGAACCGAACATGTTGCAACTACAAATTCTGCTCACCTGGACACAAAGGTGCATTTAGGAGCAAATTGATAAATTGGAGAAATATATTTTTCTTGTTTGTTTTGAACATTTAAAGCATAATAAGGGATTTATTCATTGTTTTGCATTACTTGTAGTATGTTTAATTACAATACATGTTAAGAAATAACTTAGGAACAATTACTTATGATTGTTTATTTTTTTGTAGCTTTTTACCTTCTCCTGGGAAGTTTGTAGTGAAATAAAGAATTACAAGAAACATTTTGTTAGTCATTAGGCATTACAGTAAAAAGTACATATAAAAAAAAAGTTTTTGTAAAAAAAAATAACAATACCACTATAAAATGTCGACTCTACTCTTTAGGCTGAAAATTATACCAATATAATAAGGGATAAAATTTAATCAAAATGCTAGTGAGCACTTAGGGTAAAGATTGCATTCATTTTACAGTGTAATCTAAAAGTTAAACATTGCATTGTATTAGCTATGGAAAGTTATATTTTTAATCGGAGATTTCTTCCTTTATTCATAGCTAGGTTCAACTACATTTATGAACAAAAGTTCATATTACCTTTAATGGCTTTTTTTTGAACAGATAGATTCCTTTTTGAAATTTTCAATCAAATAGTTTTCTTGATATGTAAAGTTGTACTCATGCATATCATTTTGTAACTTAAATATCTGAGTATATATTTCATTGATAAATTGCTTGAAATGTACTCAGATAATTTAAAAGGTAAAAAATGTTCACCTCAATGTTTTTGTACTCTCAAACGTAGTGATGAGGTCTTGAAAATATAGTTATCAAGCCAGTTCAGAATGCAATCTTTACCCCAAAAACAAAAATATAAATCTATTAGCACTATATATACTAATATTACATTTGTATTAAAAAAAGGGTTTACATGTAGTTTGGAAGGAGTGCTTCAAACTTCCTACAAAGCTGTACAATACCATAACTTTATGCAAAACCTCTAGACGACCTTTTATGAAATATCTAAAATTAAGTCAGGCCAAGAAAAATGTCTACGTCTTACAGCTTAAGCGATGTCAACCTGCCCACAATAGGCCATATACTCCTGCCCACTCAAATTTAGCCTCAGTTTTTGAAAAAAAATTTTAGCACAGAAGCTTTGGTCATCGTTTAAGGCATTGAACATTTAAGTCTGCAGATGAAAGAAAAAAATTACATGTCCATTCATTGAGTTTGGCACTGCAGACCATCTATAAATTTTGTTCATCCTGTACCCATTCCCATTGTGGACTGTTGGAACTGATAAAGTCCAAATAAGCTGTATTGTATCTGTTTAAGGTTTTTCTGTCAAGCCTAATTTTAAGGCCTTCTTTTTTAATCCATTTAATTGAACATTTTGGCCAACACTGTACATCCATTCTTTACATAAAACATTTTAGAATATTTTTTTTTATTAAATTCTAACCTTTACTCTTTTTTGAATTTATAAAACCTTAAACAGATATGTGTATTTTTCTTTGGCCTTTTAATATTATATATCAATAATCTACCTAACCTCAGTGTACAAAAGACTTACTCGAGGTGTTGATCTATTGCCTCTATTATCTTTTTTACTCCTGTCTGTCGTTACAACTTTTGGAAACTAAATAACATGTTAGGAAATCTAAAGTCAAAAGTTTTTTGTTTCCTTGTACGTAAATTTGTTCATTTGTTTTTAGTTTAGTATACAAATTTACAAATATCGCATTTCAAACTGAATTATTAACATATCAGACTTTCTACAAATCTTAACTTTTTCATATACTCAGGAGAGGACCAAAGATTTAAAGTTAAGGAGGGCATAGTCCTATCAATTTGACAGAGCAGAGCAAAATGCATGAGTAAATTATTTTAACATTTCTATGCCAGAAAATTATATTTAACCCTTTTTAGGGGGTGCACTCCCAGCACAACCCTGCCCCTGATACTGCGTATTTTCACTTTAAATTAATTGCATTTAAATATTTAAACACTATCCTTTGCAAAAGACCTCATATATACAATTAAAGTTGAGTATAATACAGTTATTGAAATAAGTTTCAATAATTATAGTTCAATAATCAAATAAATTAGAATATTACAACTATAAACCTCCTTTAATAAGGATTCAGTTTTGATATATATCATAAACAATTCAATATTCAGAGATAAACTTTGTATCTGCAAAACATTTACAGAACTAAATTTTCTCAAAGGCTAGATAAGGGAGATAATTCATTGTATTCATCTTTATGTGTAAAAGCACTGTCGAACAGAAATGATTCTATATCCCTATTTGCAATTGATTAATTCATTCACTAGCATTTAAAACTTAAAACAATTTTTTCTTCAACATTATATTTTTTTGTAACTTTAGGACATTAATATGCAAATAGTATACTCAACTTTTTGCCCAGTTTTATTTAAGATTTTTTATACATGCTCCTTGTCTGAGGGTTGCATTTCACCAAAATGTCCTTATATTCCATAGAATTCCATGCAAAGTGCAAATTAATTTGTTAAAATAAAATGCTCTTTATCTTAGATTGTTTTGTGTGTTTAGCTCCTGTCTCCTCATTATGACAATCTAATACTTACAACAAAGCCAAATCATTTACAAATACAAAAACCCCTAAGACCTATTTAAAAAAGTGCACCTCATTTTCAATAGACTGACACTAAATTAAGTATATTAGAAACTTGCACAAGTCATTGAATTGTTATTGACAACCTAAACTTACAAACTGTAGGAAATTCATTCGTTTACCAGAAATTATATATATATATAAGGTTTAATTAACATCAGTTACGATAAAAGCTTTATACAATATTCATGTAACAGCAGCCTATAAACACTTATGCATATAAGCTATGAGCCTCCTAATGGGGTTTTTGATTATGTGATTACTTGACCATTTTTATAGTGATTATTTGATTACCAGACCAAATATTTCATGATTATTTGATTATTTGAAAATCTCGGACTGTATTTTTGATTATTTGATTATCTTGTTTAAAAAAATAATTAATGATTATGTGATTATATTGGCAAAAAATTTGTGATTATGTGATTACTTGGACACCCCAATAAGGGGCCTCAGCTATTGACAGATTACAATCTCATTGATTAATATTTAGCAAAAAGATTATAATAATCAATTCCCATACCTTGCTGTATGCATTAATAAACCTTCTGTCAACTTCTTCATAAGTTTTTGAATTTTTTCTGACCGGTGTTTTCCCCATATCTATTTGATGATGATGTAATATTTCATCCATGTACAGTTGACGATTCTGCATATACAGCATCTGTCTTTGTCTGATTTCTTCCTGGATCTCAGCATAGTTTCTGTCCAATAACTTTATACTTAATCTTTCCCAAAGCATTGCCGCTCTTGCCTGCAACCATAAAAGTATCCATACATAGAAACATGTCTAATCTTTTTTTATGTACAACCTACCTTTTCTCCGCCTCAATATACATGAAATATTTGTCACTGGACATTAGACAAATAACAATAAATCTATATATTTTTCAAAATTCTTTTTGCTAAACATTAAAATAATTACTGTTCTATGTGAGAAAATAACCAACAGTGTAAACTGATGGTTCAATATAAGATGATCTATCCCTGTGCATATTTTTTTTCATTAGTACATGTACCATTCATGCCATTATAACTAGCTATATGATATCTTACATTTATTTTGCTTTTTTTATATATACAATAAATAAACATACAGATTTGTCAGGAACTGGTGTATTTGTTAGATGAGTGGCTCTATAATCAAACTCTGGAGGAGGTAGTCCTACAATTGTAAGATATAAATGATAAATTATTGAATAATTTTGGAAGTGAGGACCACTTCATCCACACACAAAAAAGAGGAATATTGTAAAATTAATAACTTCCATAGTGTACTAATATTTCAATTTTTAATAAAAAAATACCCTCAAAATGCATTATATATGTTAAATGTAAAACAAATGCAGAATATTATCCTTATTAAATTAAACCACAAAAATTAATACACATCAACACCATGCAACAAAATAATCTGGGTCCACAAAAACTATTATCATTATACATAATAGTTTTATGAATATCATCTTTTATATCTTTATATATTATACAATGTATAACTTGATCTTTAGACTTTATCAAATCTTGTTTTCATAGTTATCTCCCTTATAGCTTAACTGGTGCTAAATATTTGTATATTTTGAAACTTCTGAATAACAAGTACAGTCATATGATTCACATGGTTATATTTTATGAGTTGATTAACAAATGAACGTCAGCAAAGTTCGTGGTTAAACGTAAACTTCTAATTTAAATGTTCAACATAGTCATAGAAATTTTTTATAAGCTAAATGTATACAAATTTCAGCAAAACATGAAATCAAATATCCACAAAAATACAAATTTCACTCAATCCAAAACAAAATGGTACCCAAGAAAAATAAACATGATAAATGAATCCACAGCTGTATATCATGTACATGTGGCAGAAATTTAATAAAATCTATAAATGTCAAATTATTTGTTTAAATTTTCAAAACTAAATGGAGAATGTGTCCATGGGACACAGATGATGCCCCTACTGACAAAATGGTCATATAATGTTATAAGGGACATAACTCAAGAACGGTAGAAGTCATGCCACCAAAATTCGAACTTGATCTGAGTTTTGTGGTAATAAAAATGAATGATATTTTTTAAGATGATAGCATAATTTAGGATGTAATATATAATAAACTCACCCACTATATTGGCTAAGTGTAAGGATGCATTGTAATCTCCAGTCCATGACCTTTAAAAGCAGAATCATAAATATATTATAATCTTTTATAACAGACTTAAAATCATGATACAATTTTTTAGAAGGCATTCAATTTCTTAGATTATATTCACCAGATAATAATTATAATTAGAAATCACTGTATAACTTTTACTGTCACAATTAATGAAGAAGTGTCAGTTCAGTCTATAAATTTCAATGAAACCAAATAAAAATTAAAAAAAGAGATAAGCATATGATAAGGGGACAATCAAGAATATTAAGTTCAATAAAAACAACAAAAGACAAATAACATAATCAGACAATTGAAAGAACATCATGAAAAATTTTATGTCATAATTTAACTATTGATCAATGGAAAGTCGCTTAAAACAAATGGACCTTTAATGACTCCAATTGCAAAAAAACAGGTCTGAAATAAAATAAAAAAGTGGATATTGGATAAAAAATGGCACTCAAAGGCATGGCAGTTTAAAGAGATATAAAATACAAATTTTGGTATACCGGTAAGTGAATTATTCGGGAGCCTGTTGTTTAGTGGTTGTCCTTTGTTGGTGTGGTTCATAGATGTTTCTCATTTCTCGTTTTTTATATAGATTAGACTGCTTGTTTTTCTGTTTGAATTGTTTTACACTATCATTTTGGAGCCCTTTATAGATTGCTGTTCGGTGTGAGCCAATTGCAAGGCTCTGTGTTGAAGGCCGTACTTTGACCTATAATTGTTAACTTTCTATACATTGTGACTTGGATGGAGAGTTGTCTCATTGGCACTCATACCACATCTTCTTATTTATATATACATTGTATTTAGCAAGCTGTTATTTTTTCCCTATTTCAATGCATAAGCTCAGGATGAAAATAGCATTTACTTATAACCATTTTCACATCAGCATGAGCATTGTTTTGCTTTCTACTGTTTATTCCCTTCTTGGGATATTACTGCGCATTTCACGTGATTGTGATATAAGCCTAAACGACCCCTGCACAAACATTTTCATATTCACTATGTACCTAATTATATTGGTGGAAATGTCTACAATTTTAAGGGTCACTAAATAAATATTATGTGTCTTCCCTTGATAAGTCTAAATAGACAGGTTCAACATATTGACACTAATATGTCTTTTCTTGATAACTCTTTATAGGCAGGACAAACAGTAATTACCTCTTTATTAGTGATATCAAACAATTCAGCTGCTCTATGGCTGCATTCTTTTCGTGTTGACAAAGTTTTACATCCTGTTTGAGTTTAGTAATGGTATCAAGCAATGCTGTTGTATTGTGTGGATTTCCAGGAGAACTAAAAAGAGGCTCCACATGGATTCCTTTGGCTTGCATTATTTTCTTTTTAAAATCCTATAATTAAAAAAAGATTGCATTACAATGAAAGCATTTTTTTCATTTGCAGTATAAATCATTTATGCATGTGAACCAACTTACTTCAAAGTAGTCAAATATATTTAGAGCTATACTTAAAAGGTCATCCATGATTCATTGAAACAAAGACAGCTCTTAAGTATAACAAAGGTTGATCTTTGGGAAAAATACATGATTCAGGTAGTATCTACTGAGTAATAGTGGGATTATTTCCTTATTTTTTTGGGGTGTTTACAGAAACAGAACATTTACTTAATACCCATTTTAATTGACAAGACACAATTCTTTACATCTTCTTACATGGTAATTACATCATTGAAATTACTACAGTACTGTAATATTGTTTATTTGAAATTTTTTTATTGTGAAAAAAAAGAAAATTATTTTGTATATTAACATTCAAGTAATAATTACATTGTATGTGATTATAATCCAAAACATTTACAAAACCACAATCAAAATGTTTTAAATATTTAGGAATTTATAAAATTTGACCATTTTTTTTGGTGATATTTCTTTAAGGTTATAATTTGTCACATATATGGTTACTGATCATATAAGTTAAGACCTGTACAAAATATACACGTAATTTTCTTGTTGGGAAGTAAAAAATAATGCTGAAGTTTTCATCTTGTTAATATTGGTTCAGATAGGGATAACAAAGATCATGATCAAATGCCATTTATCAATAAGCACACATACATGTGTATTATAAGGATCATACATTTGTAGATATTTGATCCTACAAAGGACACCTTGGATGAATTGTTGAAGAAAGAGTCAGGTTAATGGTAAAAACTATTCTTGCTTTGCTTTTAGTACATGTTATTTTTTTTCTATGATTTTGCTCAGTATCATATTCATCAATTTTTTTATTAGAAAATTTATTAAATCAAATTATTACATATTAAACTGTAGACAAAGAGATATGTCTCGCCTATAGGCGTAAAATTCAGAAAAAGACAATCTGATGGACAGCAACATTGCTTGTTAATTCAGTCACTGGACCATGATCTATAGTGGGCATGCAGGGTCTGAAAATGGTTGACAAACTGAAATGTACAGACAGCAGGGATGGGGTAATCGTAATCTGTAATCGTAATCGATTGTAATTGATTACATTTTTTCCAGTAATCGACAGTAATCTGTAATCGAAGATATTTTCGATTACATGTAATCGTAATTTAATCGATTACAGCAAATATTATGATGTAATCATCGATTACTTTTCGATTACATTTCGATTACTTTGGTTAAATAATCTATTTTATATGAAAGTATGTATGTATTCATCACTTTATAGTACAGATAAAAATAAAATGTATTGATATGACTTAAGAGTTTATCAAATGCCTTGTATCTATCTATTGGCTCCAGCTGCTTCAACCAGATCTATCAAATTATACTGTATATCTAGCTTTTGAAACAAATGACTTTTCTTGCTGGTCAATAATTTAAGACCTTTTATATAAAAATAAGAAAATAGATTTAAATAAGAAATAAGTCTTCAGTTAAAATCTGTACTATATTGCAGTAGTAAGCTTATTTGTATTAAAATTCCTTAAAGCATAATTTTCAATAATAGTTGGAATTTTAGCTTAGAATAGATAAACATTTGATTCATTATAATGTTATGACATAAAAATTACAAAGTACACGAAATCCTTTTGACAATGAACAAATGGCTATGCATTAAAATTCTTGTTCAGAAATAGAGATACATGTATCCAATTTTTGCACAAAAAATATAAATTGTTTATAATTTTGAAATGAGAATACAAAATTCTCAACAAACTTCTTGTCTTTACTAATCAGATGAACAAAGACTTCTAATCAATAAGATGAAGACTTTGTTTTGATTTCAATTATGTCTAATTAAGAGGAGATTTACATTATATTGCCCCAGGTTATAATTGTACTCCATTGGCAGTATTATAGCCTGTAATTAGGGAGGTTGTCAAAACAAAAGGATTTATTCATGCATGTAATTACAAATCATAAATTTTCATCTCTAAAATTAGCTGAACTAATTAATTATTCTACTTTTTTATAGTTTTTTTTTAGAGTAAACTTTCAACATTGTAATGAACTATATTCAAATATAGCTGTTAATAATGAGTAAAAACAAAAAACTTAACTTTAGTCAGTATGACAGCAAAAATTTGCAAAAATATGGAGATAATAACCTAAAATATAAAGAAGTGATTGATGCATTGTGATGCCATTGCAAGAACTTTATCACCAATCATTCATATTGAAAACCAAAATTTCTAGAATTTTTGAATATTTCGGATCCTTAGACAGTAAAAGCTTCCATCTAGAAAACAACTGTCAACATAAAATTTGGAAACATTGCTTTAAATGCTATTTTTGTAAAGTTCAAAATTTCCACTATACATACATTGAACAACATAATTGACTTTGGGTTTAACTTACTTTATTTAATTTGTAATTTTGTAGCATGTAATTGACAGTAATCGAAAAGTAATGTAATTACTTTTGCTAAAGTAATCGATTGCAATCGATTACATACAAAAATCAGAGTAATCGATTATTAATCGATTACACAAAAATCCTTCAAGTAATCGATTATTAATCGATTACATTTGTCAGTAATCATGCCCATCCCTGTCAGACAGTAATGTAACTTTATAGAAAATATCGTTGTTTATTGAAAGTAGTTCCTACCAATATAACTAAAGCAGAAAAACTTAACATTGAAAATTGCTAATTAATCTAAAGTCATTGGACCATGTCCCATGGGCAAAAATGATGTGGCAGGGCCTCAAAAATAGTCGTCAAACTTCAAACTGATATTTACTGATAGTAATGCAACTTCCTACAAAATATTATTGATCTATCACAAGTAGATCCTATCAAACTAACTTAAGCAGAAAACTTAACATTGAAAATTGCTAACTATTAATTCAAAGTCACTGGACCATGTCCTAGGGGGCAGGGCCTCAAAATAATCGTCAAACTGATATGTACTGATAGTAATGTGACTTCATACAAAATATCATTGATCTATCACAAGTAGTTCTTATCAAATTGACTTCAGCAAAAAACTTTACATTGAAAATTGATAACTGATTCAAAGTCACTGGACCATGTCCTAAGGGGCAGGGCCTCAAAATAGTCGTCAAACTGATATGTACTGATAGTAATGCAACTTCCTACAAAATATAATTGATCTATCACAAGTAGATCCTATCAAACTATCTTAAGCAGAAAACTTAACAATGAAAATTGCTAATTAACTCAAAGTCACTGGACCATGTCCAAGGGGGCAGGGCCTCAAAATAATTTTCAAACTGATATGTACTGTTAGTAATGCAGCTTCATATTAAATATCAATGATCTATCACAAGTAGTTCCTATCAAACTTACTTAACCAGAAAACTAAACAATTGTTGACGCCGTTGCCACAGCCGTCGCTGGAAAAGCAATCCCTATGTCTCGCTTTCCACGACTTTCGTCGCAGGCAAGACAAAAAGCTTTCTTTGACTGTATGCAGCTAGAGTTAAAATTGTGGAAATGTGAAACATATCAAAAGAATATCAAGGTACATGTATTCCATTAATCATGTTCAATCATATACAGTACATTGTACCAATTCATAACTAGAGGCTCTCAAGAGCCTGTGTCGCTCACCTGTATTTACTGATGCTTTGGAAATCATGTAAAATAAGGTTAAAATCATCATTAATAGTATTAGATATAAGATATTATAATGATATCTAAGATAATAACAAAAAACTGCAAAATTTTTGTAAAATCACTAACTCAGGGGCAACACCCAACATCGGGTTGTCAGATTCGTCTGAAAATTTCAGGGCAGATAAATCTAAATCTGATGAACATTTTTGCCACCTGTCAGATTGCTCTAAATGCTTTAGTTTCAGAGATATAAACCAAAAACTGCATTTTACCCCTATGTTCTATTTTTAACCAAGTTGGCCATGATGGTTGGAAGGTGGGGTCATCAGACAAATTTTTTAAACTAGATACCCTAATAATGATTATGGCCAAGTATGGTTAAATTTGTCTCAGTAGTTTCAGAGAAGACGATTTTTGTAAAAGATTACAAAAATTTGTTAAAAATTGACTATTAAGGGCAATAACTCCTAAAGGGGTCGACTGACAATTTTGGTCATGACAACTTATTTGTAGATCTTACTTTGCTGAACATTATTGCTGTTTACAGTTTATCTCTATCTATAATAATATTCAAGATAATAACCAAAAACTGCAAAATTTCCTTAAAATTACCAATTCAGGGGCAACAACCCAACAACAGGTTGTCAGATTTGTCTGAAAATTTCAAGGCAGATAGATCTTGACCTGATAATCAGTTTTACCCTATGTCAGATTTACTCTAAATGCTTTGGTTTCAGAGATATAAGCCAAATCGTACATTTTACCCCTATGTTCTATTTTTAGCCATTGCGGCCATCTTGGTTGGTTGGCGGGGTCATCGGACATATTTTTTAAACTAGATACCCTAATGATGATTGTGGCCAAGTTTGGTTAAATTTGGCCCAGTGGTTTCAGAGAAGATTTTTGTAAATAGCTAACGACGACGACAACGACGGACGCCAAGTTTTGAGAAAAGCTCACTTGGCCCTTCGGGACAGGTGAGCTAAAAAAGTCATTAATGTAGTACACAAATCCCTGTTGCAGAAAAATTCTGTGACAAAACAAGAAAATGTATTCCATTATAGTTGACCAAAAGTTGGTGGGGTTTCTAAGGATCTAAGGATCATGAATGACTTCTGTGCTACCTGATCATGAGTAACAAACCCTTGGTTCAATATCTTTCTTCTACGTGTTGTACGCAGCAACCCTCTATCAAAGAATTCATAATAGGAAACACAAGCACTGGAATATAATATAATCTGGGAGATACATACTGTAGTGTAGATGTGGCAATTTGATGTGATACATTTTGTACTTCATGGATCTTTAAAGGACCAGTTACCATCTCTTATTACATTTTACTAACCATCCCACCCGGCACGCAACGTCATTTCAACGTTGAAATGTGGTTGATATTTCGTCATGACGTTGCTTCAACGTTGTTTCAACGTTGTAACAGCAACGTCAAAGTTATGTTGCAGAAAGTAAGTTGATTCAACGTTGAATTTTAGTTGAATTTTAAATGTTGAAGTTAGGTTGAAATAAATATGTTGTTTCAACGTTAAATGTTGGTTGACATGTCGACGATGGAGGTTCGTCCAGAAAAAAAATTGTATGCATCGGTATAAAAAATTATCCACCATCAGCGTTAAAGGCGAATCATTATAGTTGTACATCCTTTGTTATTGTATCAACAAAAGTTCATAAATAAGGATTTTGTTATGAAAAATTGTAATCAATGTTTCCTTTCATTTTTTTGTACAATATCTAGTAAAATTAGGAATATTCAAAACCGGGACGTTTATCAAAATCATAAAAGTGTACAAATTCGAAATATGCTACTAACTAATTTGTTATTATCCGGAAATATTTTAATCAAAGATAAGACACAGCATGTGAAAGTGCGGCATCTACACAACTGATACACGTAGATTAGCACTCCCAATAATCAATTGATAAAATTATCACGTGACATGATGCTGATTAATGTATGACCACACGTGTGTGACCGCCTTTTTCAAACGCGGAAATTGTATAATTTTCCTGGACAATATTTAGGACCATTTTCAGCAAAGAAGAATTCATAGAAATGTAAGTGTTTCTTTAAATTATTATCCGTTGCTGTATTAATTGTCTTTTAATGATTGTGTGATGTTAACATTGCATGGGAGATTATAAATGCACAAACGTACGTGTATATTTTGAAAATCTCGCCATAGTGTATGTTGTAAAGATAACATTACTGACTTCAGTGTGTACATCATTTTTTTGTTGTACGTTCAAATTTATGACTGCACTTCTATATAAATATGTACTACAATCTGGAAACACCATACTCAGCCTACACACAGCTCATTTTAGTTATTTACTGCTGATTTGTTAAAGAAAAGGAACTTTTGCGAAGTAAGATTATCATCTCCCCCTTTTTTATCTAAAATTTTAACCCGTCATCCATAATCACACTATTTTAATTATTGTCAACTATGCTCTGAAATTTTTAATAATTTCTTTTTACTCTTCAATCGAATTTTACAAATTTAAAATATTGCTTGGCGATGATGATCGATGTTATTCTTATTTTTTGCACAGGTATTAGAGACAGAACAGTAACGTAAGAAAGGGACAGATCAGTAACTTAGGAAAGAAAGATTTAAGGATAAAAGTAATAGCTGTCAAGGTATGTATTTTTTTTTAAATTTTAACAATTTTGATTATCAATAATCAGTATGTATGTTGGATTGCCTGTGTTGTTTGTGTGAACTTTGTGATTTGAATTGATTTATATGCTCTATATGGGACCTTTAATTAGGAATACTAGTAAAGACATTTGATTTGATTTGATTTGATTTGGATTAATATTTTTTTAATGCATATCAAATTTAAAACATAACCTCTGCAATCAATAAGACAGGTGGTATTGTTACAATAGATCCTGGTGTTCGAGATGGGTGGCATTGTTACAATAGATCTTGGTAATCAAGATGGGTGGCATTGTTACAATAGATCCTGGTGCTCGAAATAGGTGGCATTTTAACAGTAGATCCTAGCGCTTGAGATGGGTGGCATTGTTACAATAGATCCTGGTGCTCGAGATGGGTGGCATTGTTACAATAGATCCTGGTACTTGAGATGGGTGGCATTTTAACAATAGATCCTGGTGCTCGAGATGGGTGGCATTGTTACAATAGATCCTGGTGCTCGAGATGGGTGGCATTGTTACAATAGATCCTGGTGCTCGAGATAGGTGGCATTTTAACAATAGATCCTGGTGCTCGAGATGGGTGACATTGTTACAATGGATCCTGGTGCTCGAGATGGGTGGCATTGTTACAACAGGTCCTGATGCTTGAGATGGGTGGCATTGTTACAATAGATCGTGGTGGCCAAAATAGGTGGCATTTGAACAATAGATCGTGGTGCTCGAGATAGGCGGCATTGCTACATTGTACATGTACAGGAGCGAAAAAAATGGTAAAAACGGATCCGCTATTATATAAACCAGTAAATGTTTTAAAATAAAACCTGGCCTATATAACATTTTATTCCCTGCCATTGACGTTCTACGTAATTGCTTAAGTCGTGTTTACAAAATAGTATTTGTGTTTGTTTTTTCAGGAAGAGTAATGGAGGCCTACACAAAGATAACAGAAGCTGAATTAAAGAAGGATTGTGCACCAGAAATGGTTGGATGAGTTTAGAGACTACAATTCATTTGCACGAAAATAATAAAAATTGATTAAGAGATTATTTGTATTCATTTACCAGATCACCTTTTGGCTATATTTAATTTAGCTTTTGTCATAACTTGACATCTGTTGTACTGGTTTTTTTTCAAATCTTGCTGATGTCCTCTGTAGAGTCATGTGGCTTCAATATCTTGTGTGGTTACTAACTATTATAGATATAAGAAGATGTGGTATGATTTCCAATGAGACAAATATCCACCAGAGTCCAATTGACGTGGAGGTCACTAAACGGACTTCAACAATAAGCACACACCACACCGTATAGACCGCAATAGAAGACCCGGACACAATACACCCTTCAACAATCAATTCAAACGAGAAAAACAAACTTCCTAAATTTGTAACGACAAACACATGTGACAGATGAACCAACAACACGCAACGCATTGCTTATTTCAACATGAAAGAATGTTGTTGCAATATTAGGGTGACGTTGTTTCAATGTTAAGTTTCAACCTATATTCAATCAAAAATCAACGTTGATACAATGTTGAAAATATAACGTTGTTTCAACGTCAGACATTCAACGTTGTGTCAACTTTCAAAACCAACCGTTATTTCAACGTCTTTTCAACGTTACATATCAACGTTGATTCAACGTTGTTTCAACGTTGAAATGCCTGCTGGGATATCAATATTAACTCTGTTACATATTTCTGTTCTGTTACTTGCATAGAAAAGAAATGTGCTTGCATATATATGTAACTTCAAACAAAACATTAAAAAAAAATCTGTCATTTCAATGTACTTAATTAAAACAATCAATACTTCTATAGATAACAACATGGCATTTTCAATATCAGCCCTGGTATTATTCCATATTTCCACTATATAAATGATTTAGTCAAATATTATGTGCTGAGAAATGCCATCAACCATGGGAAGATTAAGAAAATGACATGTAACATGTGTAATGATCTATTCATCTGACACCAAGGCTTTCAAAACGGTCATATATTCCGGACATTGGTATAATGTCCAGTAAATTGTGGCTGGGCAAAGCATGAAACGGTCATCTTCTTTTTAGTTTTCAAGGCTTTCTTAAGAGACGGTAATTTTAACATAATTCACGATCTTTTTGACCCAACCTTTTGCCTTTAACAGCCACACATTTCCGGTCATAAAAGTGACATGATCATTAAGTACTATCAAAACAACCCCTACTTTAATACCTTCTCATTTTAATCAAGGCTAATTAGTTGTCAAACAGCTGAAATTTACCTGTTCAGGTGACAGGTAAACTATTTTGAACCGGACATTGATTGGTCTACTCAAAGTTATTTTCTTACATTTCAGCGGTTTGCATCTAATTAATTTAGTCAAAAAGATTTAAATTATCAGAAATACGTTTACAAATATGATTTGATGAAAAAATTAAAAAGGTGAAAATGAACAGTCGTCATAACCACGTTGTTTGAACCAGAGACATGTCTCTGTTTGAACTAGTACACGTGTGCGCATGTGCGCAGGTGTGAAATTTAATTATGCATCCTAATTTCTTCAAAAAATGCTTAAATTGTCATTGATACCTTTATCTCACGTTTATTTCGAATATTTTCTTGAAGAAATAACGTAGAAAGAGCTACTTACACTCATTCATGCTTTGCAAACGTACACGGAATTTACGTATCCGTCTCTGGTCCATGTTTTACCATTGTCAAGATAACATCCGGTATTAGATTTAAAAACAAAAGTAAAGTTTTTGACAACGTTATTTTGCACAAATAAAGAGTCTAAGGCAGATATAAGTATGCTGATGTTGCACACTTTGAATGATGCACTGCCAATTTCACAGTTTACGTCAGAACTTCGAATTTGAATCAAAGAAAGTTTAATATAGTTGGTTTTTTTAATGTCAATCATTGGGATTGCCGACTCGGCAACTGATTACCATAATTGCCTTTTGTTTATCTAGTCTTAAGGGATTAAAATTGGTATAATATATAAAATGTCCGGCTGGCTAAAAATAATTTTGGAAGCCCTGTCTGACACATACATATATTTAGCCTATGAAATTGGAAAGAGAAATTAATATAAACGATTGCAGTCAATTTATTTCCTCAAATTGTTCGTTTATGGGGAATTTTTGTTTTGCATTGATAAATGTTTCCCAAATGATTGCTGCATCCACAACTGGTCTTCTCCGACTTTTAAGAAAGCATTGCTTCTAGTAATGAAGTCACAATGTCCATGATGTCGGAAGTAGTCTTAAACTAGATGTGTCAGAACAACATGAATGGCCCCACTCACAAAAAAGCTAGTAGCCATTTTTAGGAGTTGAAATCTGAGATTGAATGTCCATATAACTTTTATTTTCACGAAATTATTAAAGTCCAAAGCCTGTAATTTCGGAACAAATCAGTGGAGAAGAATCAAACATGAACTCGATCTCTAACTCACCATAGTAGACTCACATTCTATAAATCAGCTCAATATGTGAAGTTGTTTAGAAAAAGGTCTGTATAACTTATTTTCAAAAAAATTTCAAAGTCCAAAGCCTTTATTTTTTGCAAAAAATCTGTTAGAATTGCTAAAACCTGGAACAAACTACCAGATAAATCACTAAAGCCCCATCCATAAATACCTTTAAAAACCGATTAGATAAATGCTGGTCTGACAAAGAGCTATATTACAATGACTACAGAGCAGAAATATCGGGAAGTCACGGATAAAACAATATTAGAAATAACTTAAATTATGAGTCTGGTTCCTGTACTGGAAATCAACTATAAGTAACTTTAAGTAAGATTCGATTTAAAAATTGTAATTTCCCATACAGTTGGAGGTAAAACCTGAGAATCTCTCCTCCTTAAAATTTGATATATTCATGAATATGTATTATTTACAGAAACATGAGAAATAGAGTACCACCAGTTAAGATGCAACAAGACAAGTTTTGACCTTAGCCTTAGGATAAAGATCAAGTTACATATACAAATTCGTATTTCTTTTTTTGTAAAAATTTCTTCAAAACTTTATTTTTTTGTTTCACTTTGCTTGTTTTTTCTCGGCAAGTATAAGCCAGTATGGAGTCTATGGACCCACTCCTTCATTTGGCAACACTGAAGATACATCATATCAAGGAAATATGGTACTGTTAAAGTGTTAGGAATGGTACATTCGTAAAATAAGAGGGGTAGGGTTATTTAATTTTTGTCCCTTGCAAAGATGCCAAAGTGCACATGTATTTTTGAAAACTGTCTAATTAAAATTTTACATGTTGTGTATACCCTTAAAAACACTGTTCTTGATGAACCAAATATACACAGTCCAGACATTTTCGAGCGGGTTAAATTCTAGTACAGATAGTTCACAGTAAGAATCACATGATTCCAAGCACATGTAAAAAGTGCACTGCACGAATCAGAAGGAAATTTGTACCTTTTTCAAAATTTCAAGGCATATGAATTACCCTTATACATTTGTCCAATAAAATAAATGCTTTATTACACTCTCTGATTCTTCGACTTTATCTGTTTAAGTGGTATGTTGCTAGTCCAGACAGTTCACATATTTCTACATAGATTAGACGCCATGTTGTTTACATCAGCGCTATGCATTCGGTTTTCTCCAGGTTTTTAATAACATATAAAAAAGATCTCCAAAAAGCTCGAAGTTTTATTATTAGCGTCAATGATGTGTTTATCAAAATAAAATATTAGTTAACTTTTAGGAAAAATATTTCGACACTGACCAAAATCACAATACGGAACAAGAAAAAATTGTAAAATATTTTGGGAATGGCTTATTACGGTCAACAACAGCAGCCTCCTGCAGGATATTATAATCAACCGGGTGCTCAACCTTCACAGAATGATCCTAATTTTCTATGGGGCGTCTTTCAAAGGTTATTTTAAATCTAACTGATAGTAATAACTTACAAATCACACTGCACTGTCACATAATTTTACGTGACTCAACCTTATTATTTCGAAATCCCTTTACCCTCCATTAACTCATACTTATTCATTATTCTGGTATGCGTTGAAGTCTTTGTTAAAACCACTTCATATTGCTAGTCCTTACTATTTTTTTGGACTTTGAGTCCAGAGTGTTTTCTGTCAATCTGATATCATGGATATGGCTCTCTACTCTAGGTGTGGGTCTCATTGGGGTCTAAGCGTGACGCGGGATTGCCGATTTATTGTAAGCGTGACGCAGGATTGCTGATTTTTTGTAAGCGTGACACGTGAAAGTCAAATTATTGTGCCGTGAAAACAGGGAATGAAGTGTAGCGGGACACGGGAGATTACAAAAAAATGAGAACTGCTTACGTACATAGCAGGGAAGCAAGTTAACTCGTACCATTGTAAACTCGTACCACGTAAACTCGTACCAAAAAAGTTAACTTGTACCAACGTGAACTCGTACCACTGGGAAGTCGTACAAATCAGAACTCGTACCATTAAAAATATATTCAAAAATACGAATGTTTTATGATTTTTTTTTTTGGTAAACTTAATAAAAAAAGTTGAATTACTTGAATTTTATACTAGATTTTATTTTATGATTATTTTTTTTTAAGCTTTATACAAAAAATTAAAATATCTTTGAATTTTATACCAGATTTTAATGAAAACTTAGACAAAAATCAACTTGTTTAATCATATTATTAAATTTTGATTGTTGTTATATTATTTAACAGCTTGGAATTAAATGTATAATGTTTATTATTAAATGAAATTCCTGATTATCAAAACATAAGCTGACATGAGTTGTCTCAAAGCTCACTTTCCTCATAAAATGGGGCATGTTTGTGAGGTTTCTCATAACCACAATGGAAGACGACAATTGTATATGGTGCCACTCTCTGGTTAGACCCCGACAAGAAGCAATAGAGTGTGATGTATGTTCTAAATGGCAACAAATTGGTCATTGTAATTTCAAATTATATACATTTTACAGACTTAAGAGGTATCGAGTGAAATTAAAGTATATATTCATCATTAAACACCATTTGAATGCATTTAAATAAGTTGGTACGAGTTTACAATGGTATGAATTTACCGTGGTACGAGTTTGCATTGGTACGAGTTCTTTTTTAGTGGTACGAGTTGACATTGGTACGAGTTTACAATGGTACGAGATAACTATAATTCCATAGCAGTTAACTGCCAAGTTTTCATGAAGCAAATGCGTGAGATTTGGCCAAAATTGTAAAGATTAAAGAGAAAAAACAATAGATCAAAGGAAAATGCCGCCAAATATGCACGAAAATGCGTGAGTCTCATGCTAATTGCGTGAGACTTGGCAGCCCTGACATACATGACATATCGTAAGCAGGATACAGGAATCTGACAAAACAGGAAGTGGGATCCGGGATCAGTACCCCCCAATGAAACCCTCCTACATGTCCTAGGTTTGGGTACAAACAAGCCAAATTGGTACCTGGTCAATTCAGCACGGTGAAAGGCTAATTAAAGTCATTTCTGCATTTGGTTAGTCAATTTTGCACCAAATATTTTATTTTACATTGGGAGATATTTATTTGAGATATCCTCGATGATTTGAAGTTCGTTACCCTAAGAAGATAAAATCACAACCTTGGAGCAAATATTATCCACTGTGAATGTAAATATCAAAATGTCACTGTTCTGGGGTGTTGAAATTAGTGGGGGTAATTAAAATAATAATACTTAAAGAAGTGATTTTTTGGAAGAAAAAAGAGGTAATTTGATACTCAGAGAAGTGATTTTTTGGAAGAAAATAGAAGTATGATACTTAAACAAGTGATTTTCATGTCATTATCCCAGATTCAGTACAAGGTAATCACCTGACATGACCAGTCATCCTATAAACACAGATGTTGATTCTGATAATTTTTGCACCATAATTAGTCCCTGGATCATTAGTAATGTATATTAAAAGCTACAATAAAATTAAATCACTTAGTCTAGTGATTTATTTGTACTACTTAAATAGGTGATTATTAAAGAAAGACAACTCTTACTTCTAACATTTGTGAACAAATATTACTTGAATCAGTGATTTAGAAATCATTCATTTAATTATATATAAGTAATTCGCCTGACTGATGAATATCTCGATACAAAGAGAAATTGGGACATACTAACTTTTTTATTCTCCCTACAACAATTATTCTAATTTTTACACGTGACTTTCAATGGTCAATTGGAAAATCCAGAATTAAACACCTTAAACACGTTTAAGATAACTGTAACGATGTCATAATGTCATTAATGCTTTAAAGTATTTTTTCATTCAATTTGCATTCATTGGCTCAGGATTAAATCACTTTTACGAGCCAATAATCGGCATGTCTTGTTGTTGTCTCATTGGCACTCATACCACATCTTCTTATATCAATTATCATTGATTCATGTGATTATCAAAACACATCAAATCATTTTCTGATCTTAAAAAATCTGCTCACATACAGAATTTAAAAAATAACACTCTTGGCCTTAAAAAAAGGAAAATGAGTGCCACATAACCTAAAGATAGATGGTGACTCATTGTTTATTGAGATGTCAACAACATTGCTGAAAGGATTTTCCCAAGAATTCAACGAAATTCTAGACATGCTAGGAGAGGAATAAAACAGTAATATTGTAGTTTTCATGGTTTTAATCAAAAACAACAAATTTGCGGGAAACAATATGATGCTCCTCCCTATATTTTACTCAATGTCCTGTGACAAACGAGACCGGAAGAGAGAACAATACAGAAAAGATTTCTGAGCAAATGTGGGAAACTGAAAAAGTTAGAAAAAGTTAACGATTTTGAGAACTTTCATAAGTTTTTTTTTTTTTTCTTATTTGATTGTTTTTCTTAGTCCCCATATAATGCTATCATTTCAGGAGGCAATATTGTTTTCTCTCTCACCTGTGATATTTCTCAACCTACTGAAAGTTTGATAAGGAAACCTGAATTTGCCTGATGGTGCTTCCAATTGTATATGGCACTGTAAAATCAGAATAGAACCCTAAAAAATGTGTTTTTCTGGTTACCAAACTGACCCCAATTTTTGTCGAGCCTGCGACTTCTGTCGCAGAAACCTTGACATAGGGATAGTTATCCGGCAGCGGAGTTATAGGATAACTATATTTGGTATGTGTGTACCTTGCAAGGTCCTCATGCCAGTCAGACAGTTTTCTCTTGACCTTTATAACCTCATTTCTTGGATCAATGAAAAAGGTTAAGTTTTCATGGAAAAGTCCATATCTCAGATACTATAGGCAATAGGTCTACTATATTTGGTGTATGGAATGATTGTAAGGTGTATATGTCCAACTGGCAGGTGTCATCTGACCTTGACCTCATTTTCATGGTTTAGTGCACATGGTTAAAGTTAAGTTTTTGTGTTTTGGTCTGTTTTTCTAATACTGTATGCAATAGGTCAACTTTATTTGGTATATGAATATATTTTATGATGTACATGTCTGTCTGGCATGTTTTATTTGACCTTGACCTCATTTTTACGGTTCATTGCTCAATGTTAATTTTTTGTTTTTTGGTCTGTTTTTCTAATACTATAAGCAATAGGTCAACTACATTTGGTGTATGGAATGATTGTAAGGTGTATATGCCTGTCTGGCAATTATCATCCTACCTTGACCTCATTTTCATGGTTCATTGGTCAATCTTTAGTTTTCCTGGTTTAGTTTGTTTCTTAGATACTACATGCAATAGGTCGACTATATTTAAAGCATGTTATGATTGTAAGGTGTACATGTCTGTCTGCCATGGTTCATCTGACCTTGACCTCATTTTCTTGGATCATGTTAAGTTTATGTGATAGTTTTAGTAAAGCTTTAAATTTAGGACTATCAACATAAAATCAATGATCAGTAAAGAAGGCGATATATTTCAGCGTGTGCACTCTTGTTTAGAATTATACGTTAAATGTACAGTGCATATGTATTTTAATAAAACAATGCTGTTTTGGGTTAAGATATACCCTTTTCATGAGTTAAGCATGTTATAGGTTGCACTTCTGTAAATATAGTGAATGCAATTTCCCATAGGAACACCTATTATGGCTAAAACTGTGCCAATTTTACCATGAAGTTTCGTAAAAAATTATATCTTAGAATGGAAAGGTCACATGCACTACTAATTTTTGCAAAGGTCAAAACTTAGGTCTGTGCATGTGGCATATTTTCCACATTTCTATGCCTCAAACTTCTAAGAGTTTAAACTTAAATCGAAATTCTGTACTACCCCTCGCTTTACTTTGAGTCTTCCTGAGAACTCAATTTGACCGCTATTTAACATGGAGATCATATCTGAGAAACAGTCATGACACTATTTTAATATAACTGCCTGCCGGTAAATAAAACAAAATATATGAATATTAAGTGTCTCCCCAAAAGAGGCTTGGTTTGTGAAACAGCTGTATTTACAAAGTACAACCTACATTTATATAGTATGTAATACAGATGAAATGACAGTAAATTCAGGAAACATAGTCATGATAGTAAAATGGCAAAATTATTCAAAATCTTGACTGACTAGTGAACATGTTTAAAAACAATATAGAACACAACTGGTGCCCAAGAAAGTAATTACACAGTAAATGTGTTTTGTGTTTATCTTCTATCAACATTAAATCTCAGGTGATAGAACGATGAAATTATTATGTATGAAAAAAATGATTACAGAATACAAAGGTAAGAAAACTATTAAAATGCATGTTATGGCCAGTGCAGATTGTGATATTAGCATTTTAAAATGTTAAATGAATATTTTATTTGTTTTAGAGTCGATAAAGACAAAAGTGGTCAAATAAGTGCTAATGAACTAAGCTCTGCTCTGTCCAATGGTAAGTGGTTGGTATTTCCAACCTTGTGATTGCACTAGCTGCCCTAATGTAGCCCAGTGAAGTCTTTTTCATAATTTACAGTTTAACAGGTCATAGAAAAGTTGTCAGAAGTCATTCTCATATACTAGTCAATTATCTCCCCTGTCAAAATATATTTAAATCTATTAAATGAATGAATAAGTCAATAAAAATCCTTTGAATAGGAGCAGTTGTAAAATAATTTCTGATGTTTTTTTTTCCAGTTCCTGAATTAAATATTCAAGATATTGTACAGAAACGTAAAGCTAGTTACTTTGCTCCAAATTGTTTACTGAGAATTAATCCACTGACAGCTTTAGATATATGCATGTAGTAAACTGGAAGTTATGAATTTTTGCATGTAAAATGTACATGTAGCTTTCTTATGTCTGTGGACAGGTTTTTCATGGAAGTTAGATTTCATCTTTCAAATTGCTGTGTTTAATCTATAAATATTTTTGTTACACATTTTTATTTTTATTTTATTTACTGGTATCATGTCTACCAAAAATTTATCTTGTTTTTTGTTGAATTTTTGGAATAAGAAATATTGGCTTTTTTTCGAAATATTGTGCATGATTTTCACAGATCCGTTTGAACATTTGATTATTTCCAAATGAATTTTACTTGTAATGCAAAAACTGTCCACCTCGTGTAATATGTATAAACATGATAAACCTGGGCGTAATTCAGTTTCTGAATAGGAAGATATTAAATAGGATTTTTTTTTATCCTTTTATTAGGATAGATAAAGACAGAAGTGGCTCAATATCAGGAAATGAGCTTCAACAAGCTCTCTCTAATGGTAAGATCTGTGTGACAGGAAATATAGGAAAATATTATAAATTCATAATTATAGTTTTTAAAAATTAATCATAAATTCTTTAAATGATTATTTAGAACTTTTTATTATTGACAAGGATTCAAAATTAATATATAAATCTAGGCACATTGAATACATCTTGCATGAGTACACAACCACTACACTTGTGCCTCTGTTTTTATTTTCTATTCAGTTTTTATTGGCTTGTGTCTATGCCTTTAAGCTTATTTTAGTGCTATGGTCATGATGGTACTTCAAACTTATTTAAGTTTAGCTTTTTTCCAATTTCTTTCAAAATTAAATTTTAATCAGATTGGCTCCTTTCTAATAGACGATTGATACATATGTACTTTTTTATTATGAATCTTATAATTTTCTAAATGAACTTCATCAGCTTATATATTTTTTTATTATATAAAAATATCACAGGTAAGCACAGCTACAAAATGTAGATAGTGAACATGGTGAACAAAACTAGAAACACATCAACTAACCAACACATTTTTCTTTCCATTTTAGGACACGATTGTTTTAACTTAATTTGTATTTAAGATTGAGATGGAAAAAAGTCCAGAAATAATTCTTTCAATCATGCTCTATGCTCAATTGAACATGGGTTGGCATAATATTTGTCAATTTCTTTATATGAAGAACATTTGTGAGGTGTTAAGAGTTGACATATATAATGCCTGCCAATGTTAAAATGAGCATAGAGCATGACACAAGAGAATTATTTCGTCTTGTCAGAAAAGTCAGTACTTTTTTTACGTTAAAGCGAAGATACAAGACACATTTAGAAAGGCAGCCATTTTTATTTGTTGAAGCAAAATCATTATATCAAAAACCAACAGTTTATAAATTATAAAGTGTACAAATACTTGAAACTTACTTTTAAAATTATTTTAGTTAATTCTCTAGCGAGCAAGGCCAACAGAAATCATATTGTGCCTTTCTTTTGTTGTTCACTATGTATACCAGATCATTGTTGATATTAAAATGTAACAAGAAAAATTTACAGTAATACAAACATGACAAATCAATCTGTTTATTGTGTAAAACATTGACTTTTGGTGCATTACTCAATGACAATTTTAATGTTAAATATACATGTATCATATTATTAACATTTATTTTTTAGGAACATGGACACCATTTAATCCAGAAACAGTTCGTCTAATGATAGGTAAAAGACTGTTTACAACCATGAAAGCCAGAAACCAAATTTAACCTGCTTAAACAAGGAACTGTTTTAAAATTGTTTTTTATTTATTCAAAATGTGTCTACCCATGCTAAATCCTGGATCTGCACCTGAGTATATAGAATTTAATGTTGTATAATTGAAGAATACAATGTAAACAAAAAGCATCATTTAACTCAAAAAATCTATCTACCTTCTAATGTTCTCAGGGAAATATGTGGCATTGGGCTTCTATGTATGAACATGATGAAACTTAAAATAGTTGAGATTCTTCATTTTTTGTGACTTCAATATTTTCTGAGGGAAAAACTGATATAGGATCGAATAAGAAACAAAACACTTAGTTATTGAGATACGTGCTCTTTGTAGTCATAACTCTGTTAATTTTTTCTAGGAATGTTTGACAGAGATCGTTCTGGAACCATAAGCTTCCAGGAGTTCCAACAATTATGGAAGTTTGTAACAGATTGGCAGAATTGCTTCCGTACTTATGACAGGGATAACTCTGGAACTATTGATAAAAATGAATTAAAAACAGCTCTTACTGGATTTGGTAAGACTTCAGATATTGATTTAGTTCTTAAATTAAACATAAATCTATTTATACATGTTTATGAACATCGACAATTCACATTGCTCCTGTTACTGTTAACCAAGTGGTAAATCTCACCATCTTTCCATCAAAAATGAATTTATAAGCATAGTAGAATGGGCAAAACTATGGGTGTTGGTACCACATATAGATAATTAGATTACTGTTAACAGGAGGAATGATAATGCAACTTTTTGGCCACTACAAAATCTATGAAACACATGCATCAGATGTTCACAAGACATTAGTCTGTCCTGTATTAGTACAAAAGACTCCACCTAATCAGATATTGGCTAAACAAATATTTAGGCTATAGTAATAAATTATTTCAAAACAGTGAGACCTTTCCTACATCATGTACATGTTTAATGTACATTTTTTGTGTATATGAATATTGGATACAAGAATATACCGGCAAATCAGATAGGAATATTCATGAAAATTTTGTCAAAACCATGCACAATTAGATATTTTCAATGTTCTTCTGACAGGAAATGAATCTGGAAGTACAGGCACTTGTCTCTGAAAAAAACCCTACATACCTTAATATAACACAAGGTACCCAACTTGCTTTCGTTATATTTCAATTCCCGTTTGTTTATCCCACTGAAACTTATTATAATGGTAAATCTACATTAAATTATCTACAAAATAATAGATAACTGATTATTTCAATTTATCAATCATCTTATTTATATGTAGAACAAACAAAGTTTTTGAAGGATTTGAAATTTTTGCAATTTCAGAGACAAAATAATGGCTTTTATCTTATTTATTTGTCTTAAGAAACTACTCTGTATACATGTTAAGGGGGAAATACATTTTTATAATATAATGCGAGGAAAGCATATAGATGAGGAAGTATAATATCAAATCCAAACCTGGAGTTAGCTGCCATAATGAAATCAAACATGTTCAACATTCCAGTTTTGGAAATGCTGCCAGCATCAATTGGAGATTTAATGGTAGAAGACATCTGTTTACCTTCTCCAGTCCCCATCTGGTCAAAATTTATTCACAAGTCCTGCAAATGACTTTATCATGTTTATGAATTTCCAGTCCAAAGTATAAATGTCATCAAAGTTCATAGACAGTCTTGTGATAACACTTGTAACATGTTATCATTGCTTTATATATTTTTGTAGGGTATAGATTATCAGACAGATTTTTTGATATATTGGTAGTGAAGTTTGACAGACAGGGTAGAGGAACAATAGCATTTGATGATTTTGTACAATGCTGTGTAGTCATGCAGGTAAGGGTTTTAAATTAAAAAGTGGCAAAACCTGGAAAGACATTGATCAGTAAAGCAGATTTTTTTCATAACATCCAATGTATACCAAATTTCAACCAGGATGTAGCAATCATATTATGTACTGTTAACTCAGAAATTATTGTCAGGTTTTATTAATGCGAAATTGCAACTGGGTGGGTATCGCAATAATAAGAACTAGCATTCTGATATTTGATACATTTATCTGTATGCAGATTTTCCTGACATCGCAATAATTAATTTCTCATTTTTGTCCATTCTTCAATAAATGCAAGCAATAATAAGGGAATTTACAGTACTCATCAATTACTGTATATAAATTTTTTAAAAAGTAAATTTTTTAATTTATTCTGTAGTTAAACCCCATGTAAACAAAAAAATTTGAGAGGTTTATAGCGATCTCCCAGTATGTTGGTATATCCATCCATCTGTCCATGTGCCTTGTAAGTGCAACTCCTCCTAATCGGCTTAACAGATATTGATAAAGGAATATAATCCTGGTCCTATATTTTTAAGGGGAGGTAAAACTATTACATACTTCAATATTGCAATATGGAGTAATAGACTCTCTTAAGCGAATCATCTCAACAGCTGGTAAGATATTGATGAAACTTTACACAATTGTAAAACACCACTTGGGGATGTGCATAAAGGAACACCATCACAGTACTACTTGTGTAAAGGGAGGTGACATGTTGTAGGTTAATTCACAGTTCTGTTTTAACTTACATATTTTTCTCTTTATATGCAACTTTAAGTTATTTGGAAAGCAACAATGTTAAGGTTTAAGGTTATGATGGTTATAATAAGAAAATTGAAAAATTTACAGAATTTGGTTTTGCCCTTTGATAACTACCCTTAAAAGTTATGTTTTAGTATAACATTTTAATATTTGTTATGATGTTTTATGTATCAGTTTGGGTACTAGATTCATTAATATGATTTAGGTCTACATCCTTGAAATAATTTTCTTAATCTTTACAAATACCATATACAACAAAATGTATTGAAATGTTTTATGTAAACATTTTTTCTATGATTGTTACTTCACAACTGTATCATTATATATTGTATTTTTATACGACCGCAAAAAAATTTTTGTATATTGGTAAGACGTTGGCGTTGTCGTCGTCGTCGTCCGGCGTCGTCGTCCGAAGACACATTAGTTTTCGCACTCTAACTTTAGTTTAAGTGAATGGATCTCAATGAAATTTTACCATAAGGTTCAATACCACAAAAGGAAGGTGGGGATTGATTTTGGAGGTTATGGTACTAACAGTTAAGGAATAAGGGGCCAAAAGGGGCCAAAAATAAGCATTTTTGTAACTTCCAGACATAACTTGTGTGTAAGTGTATGGATCTCTCTGACATTGTACCACAAGGTTCCATATCACAAAGGGAATGCTGGGATTGATTTTGGGGGTAATTGCCTCCAAATTTTAGGAATTAGGGGCCAAAAAGGGGCAAAAAACAAGCATTTTTCTAGTTTCATGACAATAACTTGTTTGTAAGTTTATGGATCTTTATGAAATTGTACTACAAGGTTCCATATCACAAAGGGAAAGCTGGAATTGAGTTTGGGGGTAATTGCCCAAAAAGTTTAGGAATAAGGGGCCAAAAAGGGGCAAAAAATAAGCATTTTTCTAGTTTCCAGACAATAACTTGTGTTCAAGTGTATGGATCTCTCTGAAATTGTACTGCAAGGTACCATACCACAAAGGGAAGGCTGGGATTGATTTTGAGGGTTTTTCCCTCAAAATTTTAGTAATTAGGGGCCATAAAAGGGCAAAAAAAACATTCATTTTTCTAGTTTCAGGACAATAACTTGTGTGTAAGTGTATGGATCTTTATGAAATTATACTGCAAGGTTCCATATCACAAAGGGAAAGCTGGAATTGAGTTTGGGGGTAATTGCCGTAAACGGTTAGGAATTTGGGGCCAAAAAGGGGCCAAAAAACAAGCATTTTTCTAGTTTCCAGACAATAACTTGTGTTCAAGTGTATGAATCTCTCTGAAATTGTACTGCAAGGTACCATACCACAAAGGGAAAGCTGGGATTGAGTTTGGGGGTGATGAATCATAAGGGGGTTCAAAAAATTGGGGGGGGGGGATTTTTTTTTTCCTTTTTTTTCTTTAACATTTTCCATTTTAAATTGGTTATTTCTGATTTATATATAAACAGTCAGGGGTGCTACTTAAACAAGTGATTTCATCATCACTTATTTCAGTGATTTGATAAATTCAGTTATCACCTATTTAAGTGATTTTAGTGTTTTCTTTGATCTTCAAATGCTAATTTCATTGATTTTCCATATTTTCACAATCTTTTCTATAATTTTCCTACATAAATCAATTATCCCCTTTTCTTTGTATATTAATTTCACCAGTGCGCTTGGGCAGTAAGTTAGTGCGCTAAAGCTTTTACAAGTACCCTTGGGAATTTTTCTATAATCAAAAATTCATTAACTACTCTTACTATCAGACAAAGATCAACAATATTAGGTAACCTGATTGGTTTTCTTTAGAGTTAGAATGATCTACTTCAAGGTTATGACCTGATCTACAAACTATTCCAGTTTTTGCATATTTAAAAAAAACTGTAAAAGTGTCAGGCTTATCAAGCAAACAACAATTTCTGCATATACATAGTTGTTTTTTCAATGAAATTGTTGTCTTTTTACCAATAAAAAAATCAAGCTTGTGGGAAAAATATCAAGAAAATGTTATAAACACTTAGTAAAGTGATTACATTTTAACTTCTAAAATTACTAGTTTCAGTGATTTTAAAAAGTCTGTGTGAAAATTTTTAATATTTCACAGCCAAAATCACTCGAGGGAGTGATTCTGAAATCACTTGTTTAAGTAGTACCCCTGACTGATAAAAGCAAATAATAATGATATGGTTTGAATAGGCATACATGTGAACCTCCCGACGGGAGAACAATAATCCCGTTTTCAGGGGTCTCCTCCCGACCTCCCGTTGAAGAGGAAAAAACCCCGTGTATCAGTATGAAATTTTTCATGAATGAAAAATTTCTGCCCAACATATCATCTCAGGCATCTGGTGTAACTGACATTACCTGAAGTTATATTTTACCTGTAAATCAATTAACATGCATAATTATATGGCTTCACTTGTCAGCTTGGGTGTCAAACATACTGGTAATCAACGATTTTTACCTCAGGCTAACTGCCGTTGTGTAACAAAAACTGTGTATTTATTGGGTTACTTCCCTTGATTTATCCTGTTTTAAGTTACTTTCCTTTTAATAATGAAAATTTTTAAAAGAATATAAATAAAATATAAATTGAACAAATAATCATAAAAGGATGGTAATTAAATGATTTTAAATGTCTTAGGACAAATAAAAAAATAATAATTTGAAAATTATTTGAGGATTCTATACTTCCTTTCAAGGCTTAAATTGAAATTTATATAATAACTATGACCCTTATTTTACAGACAGAATGAATTTCTGAGTTTGCAAATGAAAACTATTTGCAAGAGAAAAAAAAAACAAAAAAAAAAACTATTTGCAGATAGTTAAACAAATGTTCTGGTTGCAATGATTGTTTTATAGAATATGAAGTAAAAAATTTAAAGAACATACTGAAAAAAAACAATGTTAGATTGAACATGTAGAATATAAAGATGGAGAAACTTTATAAGTACAAGGGTACTATAAACATAATAAATTGGATGGAAAGTTGAAGAAAACACACTTTAAAAGACCATTTTTACAGCACAAGGTTACATTTACAACAAAATTAATGTCGATTAAAAACCTCCTGATCTGAGTCCTAATCTCCTGACCAAAATTTCCCAATCTCCTGATCTGAGTTTCACAGTCCATCACATGTATGAATAGGTAAATTGAAAATTTTTAAGTTCTTAGACCACTTTCATTCTGTGTCAGAAACCTATGCTGTGTCAAATATTTAATTACAATCCAAATTCAGTGCTGTATCAAGCTTGAATGTTGTGTCCATACTTGCCCCAACTGTTCAGGGTTCGACCTCTGCGGTCGTATCAAGCTGCGCCCCAGCGGAGCATTTTATTCTGTATACCTTTATATTGTTATTAGAGTCAGCATGGTCAGTTGTTTTTAATAATGTATTGCTTGTCTATTTCAGACTTTAACAAGTGCTTTCCGTGCCTATGATACAGACCAAGATGGCTGGATCCAGATTGGCTACGAACAATTTCTTACACTTGTGTTCAACCTCAAATCATAGTTATAACCTATGTCTGAAACATATACAAAGACATTGTCTTGTGTAATACTGCGGTATATAAGCACATTTTTTTTAGGAAACTGTTTAATTTTTATATATTTCTGTGTAATTGTGTCTTTAACTGACTGTCATCATTGGTGCAGTTGTGTAGTTTTGTGTAATTTGTTTACTTGCAAGTTATTTAATTTTTATTGACACTACACAATTATTTAGTGTAATCCTTCTAGTTTAAAGGACTGCTTTCATTTACAATATTTATTATTTCATATGAGTAACAAAATATTATTCTAAGATTAATTATTTTATTAATTTTTCAAATATCTTGTAAGAGATGAAATTCAAGAAATGTTTGTCTATTTGATAAAAAGGACACTTTTCTATGACATGTATCAATATCTAAAACATGAAAAATGTATTTTAAAATAGAGATCTAACTTTGTTTGAAGAATAAATATGTATGCTATAAATTATTCATTTGATGTCATAAAAGACGTAATTTTCAACCTTTGTCCTTATAGATAAAAGCATTAAAATGAAAATGTGATTGATTATACTTACTAATTATATTAATATTTTTATACAAACTCAATATGAATTTAATGAAGACTATTGTAGCAATAATTTTCTTATATATTTTTTTTTGATAGTCATTACAAATCAATTAGGATGCTGGTGTAAAGAAATTAATGTTCAAAGCTATAGCTAACAGTGTTTGATGTAGAAAATAACATTATTGGAAACTCTTCAAATCCCACAATTGGAAACCTGAACACATATCCCTAGTGTCTGTAGTACTGTATAGTATATATCTTCCACCCCTCTTTGTCAAATCCACTTCCTTCCTTGGAAAATAAATGTAGATTATTCATGACCAAATTTGGTAGTTCTTTTATTTCACTACAGCAAGGCAATAATTACTGCAGAATCAAAAATAAATTAGAGTTAATTTTCAAATACACCAAAATTGATTTCTTATTTATACTCGGACAACTTTTTTTTCATAAAGTTTCTAAAACCTTGTGCCCTAAAAAGATTAATGATGAAATGTACACATGGTTTTTAATTAATTGATTTCTCAGTTTTCAGAGTTATCATATGGAATATTGCATCCTCACTATTAAAGGGGCACCTTTTAGCCAAATTTCGTTGTTGTGTATACTGGTAGCTGGAGCAGATTGTAACTATTGGCTTTAATCGTGTGTGTAAATAATTGCAAATTTACAGCAATTATGTTTTATATTATTATGCCCATTTATACTGCTGTTCAAGAATATAAATTTTGTGGAGTAAAACATATTTTGATTATTATAAATATTTTAAAAAAGAATACGTGCTAGGGATCTTACCTTACTTTTAAGCCCTTCATATTGAAGATTATACCTAATTATTCTGCTAGAGGCACATAATAAGCAGTACTAGATGGTTAAATTTTGGAGACTAAATAGGGGTAGTAAAACTGTGTTTAACTAAACAATCTGTAAGGACCTTGATTTTGGAAATGTAGCTTGTTAAAAAGTTAGTAAGTTTTTTTGTTTTTTTAACATTGTAAACATAGACAAAACTGAGAATTCACTATTTCATGCTTAGAAATACACTTGCTTTAATGTTTTTTTCTTATTACTAAAAATATTTAAGTAGATCATAATGTTGGGGACCTGTGTTGTTTTTCAAAAGCAATATTTTCAAAATTGAGAGTTCATTTGAAAACGCAAAATAGTTTGTCACAATGGAAAATATCTTAAAGGACTTAACACTACAGAACCAAGTATATTAGAAAGATTTTCCCTAAGTATATTATTATATGAAATTAATAAATAAATCCATGCACTGAATGTTTGAAAATAATTGTGTAAAAGAGTGTCATTTAGTGCTAGAATTTAAATCAGAAAACTGTTTCTGATATGAGAACTGAGTGCTGTGTAATCAAGAATAAGAATAGTACTACTACTACGGTATATCCTTAAATTATTGCAAAACATTTTTGTATATCTAACTTAATAAATCATCTTACTGCTATGTGTATTTTTCTTATAAACAGAGGTAGAAGATATCAAAGGTGAAATCAAAAACCATTAGTCCAATAAAAACTAGACAAAATTGTGGCAAAAAATAAAACAAAAAACAAACAAAAATGGTTGTCTTAAAAAAATTGTACAAAATACTAAATATAGAGCAAAACAACCCCACTGTAAGGGAGCAACCATTTAACTTCAAGTGGGGGGGTTATGGTTTTATGTCTGAGTCAGATATTTTTTTTTTAGTTTTTCGACGCTATCAAATCAAATTATTATTTTTGTCATCTGCTTGACCACAATATTTTTATCATCAAATTGGGGATCAGAATATTTTTTTAGGAAAAAACTGAAACCCCTCCTTGAAGTTAAATGGTCGACTCGTTCCCTAAACTGATGATGAATTAAGGTGCTCTGGTAGGGTAAATAGTTCCTGCTCCAATGGTAGCACTGGTAGTGGTACTTATTGCAAGTTAAATTTTCTATGCTAAATTGTATTTGGTGATTTCACAATCATTGAAAAGAAGACAGAATTGTGAATATAACAAATGGAACATATCCTTGGTCATTTGTGAGACAGATATCCTATAAGGGTTAACCAGAGCATGATGGCATCTGTTAAAGTTAACTTTTGAAGAGATTACCTCTACTTTGCAATTGGTTCAATAGCTTCCTTGTAAATTGTAATCTGCTATCAAGGAAATCGTCATATATCCTAGGAGATATATACTCTATATGCTGAAATACTGTAACATTGAAATGGAAAGCTGAAATCACCTAGTCTTAAGTTCTAAGACCTTAATTGTCGTAATGTTTGTTATCAACCAGCCTTCAATGTTAATTTATAGATATGAGTCAAGATATGAAACAGATTTATCTGTATGCAGTATCCTTTATTTACATTTTAATGAACCAGTTGCAATCAACATAGTCACAAAACATTGAATTATTGAGTGGAAGGACCGGACCTCATCTAAATAGCGGGATGTAAAGTCAAGGTTGAATCATATTTTTCAAGGGAAGCTCCTGTATGAAGTACAACTCATTTGAATGAAAGAAGTTTGCAGAAGAGGAGCACAGTTGGTTCCCATTAGAATGTCAATTGTCTGCTGAAACATAATTTGTCCTGTATAAAAAAGCTATTTAATTGTATTATAATTCCAAATTAAAAAAAAAAAAAACTATTTAATGGATACAAGGATTTTTTTTCAAACCAGATTTTCAGTGCACACTATTTCATCAATTTCATATTTATTTCTAAACTGGTTGAAATGCTCTTTTGAGAGTTGAAAGTGCAATTGAGGAGATTCTTCAAGCTAGGAAATCAAGCTAGGCGTGTTACAAAACTTCACAGTATCTCGTCGTGACTAGACAGCATCTATGGCACAATTTTAAAAAATATAATTTTTACATCTTTCTGTATTTTACAGTAAACATATAGATACAATCTAGATTTAACCTTTTTTTTTTAGATATCCATATCTTTATTAAACCTTATTAGAATTTTACAAAACTTGGACAGAAGCTTCTTTAAAAACAATAGATGGCTCCATGTACAAAATTTGATGATTTTTCTTCTACGTTTTTCTGTAATGTACTGATCAAGGGATTACGTATTTTTACGTGTCAACATTACACTTTTAACACTGGTAGGCAAGACACTGGATTTCCGCCTTTGTGTAAACAGTTGCTTTAGGGTCTGAAGTATCTGCCTGGCATGTGTCTATTGTTCTTGTGTTTAATTTGATGGTCTTAGTCTATATATTAAGTAGCAGCAGAGACATATAATACATATATGTCTCTGGTAGCAGACATGACTGCATTTTGTCTATTAGATATCACTGTATAAGGTGTACATCTCTAGCTGTCTGACATGATTCGCCTGACCATGACTTCAATTACATTGTTAATTGATTAATGTAATTTAAATAAAACATGAAAACCAAAAGCTTTCATCATCAGTTAAACCGACATTTCAGTGTGGCTACTCCTATAATATTTTACTAAATCTTGAATTCACCAGAATTTGTGATTTTGCTTTTATGCATAACTCAACATAAACGCCATAGTAAAAATATGTTGATTGACTGACTCTTCAATTAAGGATCTTTTTGTGATCAGATTTAATTGAATAATTAAATCGTATATGCTATAAAACGTCCTTAACTATAAATAAAACCTTGTTATTTTCTTCGAATAAACTACCAAAGCAAACTTAGTTTTACATTCATCTAGAAACATGCATATAAGCAGGAAATTGACATCAGTTTTCAATATTGCTTGATTCTTTACCTCCAACGTGTAGTGGGTGGGTTTTTGTTTTCTTCAATAGGCAAGTTGTTCCTTCATTCGTACGTTTTAGAATCCCAGTTAATCAGTGACTTTTGAGAATAACGAAAAGAAGCTATATCTGTAGAAGTGAGACGGGATATATTAAAGGTATATTCACACTCATATAAGTCGAAAACGAACTGACAATACCATTACCGGAAAAAACGAAAAACGACCAAAAACCAATCAACAGGCTGCATAACACAACATAGACAACTAATGACTTACAATGTAGCAAAACGAACCCCATTAAAAAACCGGTCAGTTTTGGTTTCAGGTGCTCCAGAAGGGTTAAAATATCCTGCTCCACATATGACACCCGTCGTGTTACTTCTATAATATATGTTCATTGATAAGTTGTAGGTATATTCTTTCTAAAAAGGTGATGCTGTATCACTATCTCATTAAAATTTGGTGACTATGTTGATCATATCGATCCCAATTCAAACTCTATATATTATTTAATGATATTACAGACACACTAATGTCTGATTAATATCTTCATTTACATCAGTATAACGGTTACAGAATGAGTCGCTTTAGAACTTAACTTTATGACAATCAAGATATTTCAGTTTACCCATTTTGATTGTGAACATGCAATTTCTATCTTGCAACATTCCAGTCGCTGTTCTACTGGTCCAGGAATAAATCTCAAATAAAATGCCATGACTTCCGTTTCCTAGTATTATGCTGATTTCCTAGATGGATGGTTGATGCTTACTAGTCACAAGGACGCTTATGTTGAACGAAGGATTCTTGATTGTAAGTTACCGTTACCGAATATCCAGCCGGGTAAGCGGGTCTACAGCAGGTGTCAGACTGATCTAGACCCATCTCAGAATATCAGGCACCAGATGCCTGACAAAGGATCGGTATGTTCTTCTTGTCACTGTCACGAATCAATCCTCTTTTCCTCGTTAATAGCAAGCATGAGGTGTTTGTGACCTTTTGTTTTTGTTGTTGCATAAATTTCTGTACAGATTTATTATGAACTTGACAAGATCGTTTCTTTTTGTACTTTTCAATACGCTGCTTTGTAAAATGATCTACTCTATCAAAAAGTAAAATAACAAAAATACCGAAGTCAAAGGAAAAGTACAGCTACAGATATTAAAGTGCAGGTTGATTTTTTTTATCTGCAAGTTTGATATTATCTGATTTGTAAAATCAACACAGTTTCGTAAGAAAAGTTTGGGAATTCCAGCTGCTACTTGGCCATACCAATTCGGTGTTGAAACATGTGAAATTAGTTGGGTTTGTTTCCCAACTCTAAAGCCTTTTTTCAATCTTGGAATGGAACCGAATAAGCTTAATATTTAAAAAAAAAAAACCACTTAAGTTATAGTGCTGTTCATTTCAACATAAGTATATGCTTAATTTTATGGTACATGTATGCTTTTACATTTATTTGTGCTTTACATTCGTTTTGTTTAATTTATAGTTGTGCTTTAATCTTAGTTGTGCTTCAGTTTTAGCATGTATTGATCTTAAGTTGGGCTTAAAAAAAATAGTGCTTTGCGTATAATTCCATGTGCCTTGCTGTAGAGATGCCTTTTAATATAATTATAGTCCTTTAATTTTTATCTGTATGCTTTCTGTTTTTATGTTATGTAGCATAAAGCCCTCAAGAGCTTAATAATATGTTTGCATTATTTTATCAAACCAAATCAAAATAAAACTTTCTTATTCGTATAATAGAGTGAAATTTGTATATTATTACTTAATGATTGAATATTTAATTTAGTTTGCATTCTCATTTTGTTGCGGGACCAGTAAGACCTAAAGTAGATATAGTTTTAAATCGAAAGTACAACTGGTTTCTTGGGAGCAAAATGAAAGTAGAAGACTGACTGGTATGGTGGTGAAGGCCAAGTGTAAAACAGTTAAAACTTTTTGAATTTTAGCGATTTTTTCCATTACTGGTCAGTGAAACATTTTTATTCAGCTGGAAACATGTACAGTGAAATACATTTGTTGTCCTCGGTACGAGAATCGAGCCTATCTAATCTCAAAAATAGTCTTTAATTTATGTCCAAGGTTTTTATTGCTTTAATATACATTAAAATTTCCTCCCAAAGACAGTTTTTATCATAGATCGTGAGAATTTCCTGTCTTTGGTTTACTTGTCAATATATGTAATTGGACAGCATTTTGTAGATGGAATTTTAATATCAAAGGTTGAAGAATGTGGCAGTCCGACCTGCAATCTACTTATTTATATGATATGGAGTTTGGTGAAGAATATTGTGACCTGATGTCATTTAAAATGACCTATGACCTGTAAAAGTGTTTAAAATCGTTTCCTTTGGTAAAAAGTTACCTTGCGTCTGGAAACAATTTTTAAACGTGACCTTTTGACCTACATTAAAAAGGGGTACTGTACTGGTGAAAAGTAAACAGTTGTTCCTTTCAAATTCATATTTTGTCTCATGGAATAATACCCCTGTATCTCAACTGTTAACATTACTGGTAGAGAGGATTTGGCCTGTGCTTTCGCTCGAGGTCTTCGGAAAACATACTGACAATCCTCAGAACCAACATGATACATGTACCGGTAGTTACAAATGACAGGTGTCAGAAACCTAGAAATGGCAAGAGGGGACGATTGCGCTAAGCAATGTACATGTATTCACTCATATAACAAATAAGCAAATGCACATGGATATCCAAAAATATTTCAGTGCAATGCCAGAAAATGACAAACCTGATCTAGATTATCTTCTGATAATACTGTATCCCAAGTCAGGAGCCTGTAATTCAGTGGTTGTCGTTTGGTTATGTGTTACTTATTTGTTTTTCTTTCATTTTTTGTACATAAATTAGGCCGTTAGTTTTCTCGTTTGAATTGTTTTACATTGTCATTTCGCGGCCTTTTATAGCTGACTGTGCGGTATGGGCTTTGCTCATTGTTGAAGGCCATACGGTGACCTATAATTGTTAATTTCTGTGTCATTTGGTCTCTTGTGGAGAGCTGTCTCATTGGCAATCATACCACATCTTCTTTTTTTATAAGATCAATAAAACAGTTTCATATTTGATAGGCAAAGACAATAAAACACAAACATCGCAGTATCTCCTTCATTTTGTCCTTATGAAATGTAATCCTTTAATGTTTAATACATTTTCATACTCGAACTTAAAAAAAAAAACGTAATAAATTAACCAAGTTAAATGAAAGTGTTTGGCCTTCAAGTGCTATAAGGAGATAAGTTTTGTTAAAATACTAATTTCATTCATTACCAATTTAGATGTGATGCGCTATATACATGTAAATATCAAGAACTGTACACTAGTCATTCTAACTTCAATCAATCAAGCTCATGACGTTACACGATAAAAAAAAATATACCAACTGGTTCCAACCGACTTTGTTAGACTCGAACATGAACCTCTTAATTTGATGTACCAGGGACCTAAGTCAGTCCAGTAAAAAAAAATTGCATCAGATCAATTCCTATTTAAATCCTGGCCCAACCAGAGCAATGTCTGAAACTTGATCATCATTCTGTAGTATAGCATTGACTAGTTTAAGACCTTAAAGACCATGACATAATACAAAATTTACCAAAGTAAGGCTTGAACACTTCAGAAGATTGATGACCGTTACTCTAAAATATCCCTCTCAGATTAACCATCTTCTTTAATATCGCTATCAAAATGAACCTCTTCTCTTTTTTATACCCCTGCTTTAAAAAAGTGGGGGTATACTGTTTTACCTTTGTCTGTCCATCCATCCGTCCATCCGTCAGTTCGTCCGTCCATCCCATGAATATTTATCAATGCATTTTTCTCAGGAATTGCATTACGAGGATTTCTGAAATTTGGTTTCAGGGTTTATATAAGTCAGCTATACCGTGTGATGCTTTTTCAGATTCATCACTTAACAACTTCCTGTTTATCGTCAAGTATTTGGGCGGGGGTATCATTAGTGAGCAGTAGCTTGCAGTTTCACTTGTTTTTTTCTATTTTTCTAAAAAGGAAACGTAAACTATGAATATAGAAAAGTTCGACTCTTAAACCGAAACATAAACAATTGTCATGATTGTAAACATGGTAAAGAAAAAGATATTTAAGTCAAACATTGAAACTGAATAAAATAAACTAGATATCATTGAGATGGGAGCCATCTCTGTGGGCCACGCTGTGAATAATGTGTGGTAAAAAATTTGTATCTTTATCATTGGACATGGGGTTGTCAAATGAAACCAAAGTTTTAGACCTTGACCTTTGACCTAGGAAGTTGTACATAAATTATGACACACCCTCTGGTGTTGGTTTATATACATATCAAGTATAAACTTTGAAATAATAATGGTTCTCAAGATATAGAGCGGACACGATCTTTACCATAGGACATGGGGTTGTCAACTAAAACCAAAGTTTTTGACCTTGACCTTTGACCTAGGAAGTTGTACATACATTATGACACACCCTCTGGTGTTGGTTAATATACATATCAAGTATAAACTTTGAAATCATAACGGTTCTCAAGATATAGAGCGGACACGATCTTTACCATAGGACATGGGGTTGTCAACTAAAACCAAAGTTTTTGACCTTGACCTTTGATCTAGGAAGTTGAACATACATTATGACACACCCTCTGGTGTTGGTTAATATACATGTCAAGTATAAACTTTGAAATCATAACGGTTCTCTAGATATAGAGCGGACACGATTTGTTACGGACGGATGGACGGATGGACAAACAGACGGACAGACGGACAGACAGACTGATCACTATAGGGCGGCCGCCATTCGGCGGCGCCCTAATTAAAGTCCAACTTGCCTGTAAAAAAGTTTTCCCCAATCTAAAGAAATATTTTCCAGACCAGGTTTAAATATTGAAGACTGGACATTGAGTCTCAGCACAAGAAAAATCATCCCAGTGAAAACTCTAAGGACAAACCCAGGTTAAATATAACAACCAAAAATAGAAAAATGGGATTTACATGACTCATAAACATCACACTGGAGCCAAAGCATTTAAGTGAATCCAGCCGGTGCATCATATTAGTGTACTATATGACATTACATGTGAAGGTGGAGAATGGTGACATTCAATTTTTAAATTTCAGTGTACTATGTGTACTCAGTCATAGATATACCTCTATAGGGTTATTACAGAAAATATCTTGCATGTGTTATTACAGATACTTTGATGAGTTGTCTACTCTTTAATCCTTAAATTTTTGAAATCTGTAATAACACGTTTGTTATTTGTAAAATAAATCATAAATGTTTGAATTTTTAGCTGGCTCTATGGAACTCTTGAAACTTTGCGCAGAAACTAAATGCATAGCCTTGATAACTAATTTTTTAATTAGATTAATACATTTTTCATTTACCATGGTAAATCAATGAGACAAGGCTTTTAAGGGATAAACTCAGCTGTAATAACAAGGCTTAGTTATTAAAGGCATGTAACTTATTATATGAGACACTTATAGAATTACTAGGAAACTTGCACAGAACCTCATTACATGCTCTGATCATAATTTCTTACAATGAATTAAAATACATTGTAATTAAGCATGATGTATGTCTGAGCAAATGCTTTGGAGTGATGTAGAGAAGCTGTAATAACACCCTTTAGTTATTACAGGCATATTTTTTCTGTAATAACATAGGTTTACTATGCATGATTGACAAACTATGAACTGTTATATTTTTCTATAGTTTAGAATACATAAAGAGTTTTAAAGACAATAGTAATATCAATAGCACTTATACTACATTTTAACAAAACTAATGATGTATATTGTCCCTTTGAAACATGTAACATACATATGTTATCACAGTTCTTTGATTTTTTAGTCCTCAATAACAAATGTATGTTATTTTTCTCTAATAACCCTATAGAGTTATATCCTTGACGTACTAATTCATGGAAAAAATATATAACCTTAAACAAAAAGATTACATATATATACTGATATTTATAACCCTGGAAATAAACTAATCATGGATACCAGGATTAAAATTTTGTACGCCAGACGTGTGTTTCATCTTCAATAGACTCATCAGTGAAGCTCGAATAAAAAAAAGTTTAAAAAGCCAAATAAAGTCATGAAAGAAATAGGTTGAAGAGCATTGAGGACCTAAATTTCCGAAAGGTGTCCCAAATACAGCTAAGGTTATCTATTCCTGAGGTAGAAAATCCTTAGTATTTCAAAGTTTTATAAACAGTTAATTTATAACTATGACCATGATGACCATATCAATGATAATTCATGTCAACACAGAAGTGCTGACTACTGGGCTATTGATACCCATGATACCCTCGGGGAGGAAATCTCAAACAGAAGTGGTATCTACCCAGTGGTTGTAAATAAACTCATCATAGATTGAAAATTGAGAAGTTTAGTGATTCTATCATCACACACAATAACTCAAAACCTTTAGTATATCACAATTGTCAACAGCAGGGCATAATAACCCATTATAAACATAGTATCTAAAATACGATATAAAGGAGTAGGAACATTTTCAAATTTGCAAATAATGATTGGAAATGCATAAGCTCAAGACATGTAAATAGAGTACACAAGGTCTTTGATGTTATGACATCACAATTACATATGAAAACTTAGAGAATTTATATAGTTACTGACATTATCCCACCAAATAAAAATTATTTCTTGAGTGCGCACATACTTTTCCTATCTTAAATATACCTAAAATTTTATGTTAAACAAGGAAAATCAAGAAATATTACAAAATATACACATTTGATCATTTTGTGTTGCCATGGTACATCATTTAATGTGAAAAAGTTTTTAAAGCTGAAAACCCTGTTGTGTAATTTGTTTTGTTTTCAACGCAAGAAAATAATTATAATTTGCTACTTTCGTTTTATTGTAATGCTGCAAGGATAATAAACTATGCAACTTGTTTTTTGATTCCAGAAAACATTGACAATTTACTTCTTATAAAAATAAGGAGATGTGCTAAGATTGCCAATGATGCAACTTTCAACCAGAGATGTGCTAAGATTGCCAATGATGCAACTTTCAACCAGAGATGTGCTACGATTGCCAATGATGCAACTTTCAACCAGAGATGTGCTACGATTGCCAATGATGCAACTTTCAACCAGAGATGTGCTAAGATTGCCAATGATGCAACTTTCAACCAGAGATGTGCTACGATTGCCTATGAAGCAACTTTCAACCAGAGATGTGCTAAGATTGCCAATGATGCAACTTTCAACCAGAGATGTGCTACGATTGCCAATGATGCAACTTTCAACCAGAGATGTGCTACGATTGCCAATGATGCAACTTTCAACCAGAGATGTGCTACGATTGCCAATGATACAACTTTCAACCAGAGATGTGCTACGATTGCCAATGATGCAACTTTCAACCAGAGATGTGCTACGATTGCCAATGATGCCACTTTCAACCAGAGTCCAAATGATGTGGATATAAACAACTATAATGGTTCACTGTACAGCCTTCAACAGTGAACAAAACCCATACAGTATAATCAGCTATTATGAAAGGCCCTGACCTGACAAAACGAAAACAATTCAAACAGAAAATCCAAAATTCTGGTTTATGACAAAACCATTAATGAAAAAAAAAAAGAATGACAGACAACAACCAACAACAACCACTGAAATAATGACTCCTGACTTGGGACTGGAACATTGAGAATATGGCAGGTCAAACATGTTGATGCTCAACCCTCCCACTAACCTAGAACAGTGCTGTCACAGCACTGACTATATAATATATATTAGCAATGGGAGATAATTTTAGTTTATTAAAACATATATGCCCTTCAGTTTAATTTTGTGATGTGTAATTTTATTCTTTATATTTTTAGAATACCTTAAAAACAGCTCTGGAGATTTAAAAGCAATGCTTTTGGCACGAAGACTTCCAATGCAATATGTTGGCACTGCATCGTCTTGTGAAGGAAAAACTAAACAAATTTGCAGGTCAATTTTTATGGCTAGAAATGTTTCAAATTTTATCCAGAAACCATTAATACACTTAAATGCTTTAAAACCTAAATGCATGGGATGGAGAATTGAACATGGTCAATCATTCTCTAAAAATATGATTCATTTCAAAGAAGGGTCTCCAGGTAAAAAAAGAAAAACTATTGAACAGGAACTAACTGCTTTAATGGACAAATGGGAGATGAAAAAAGCTGTTAATTTATTCCGTGAGAGTGTTGAGAATGGTGTTTTCCCTGATTTGAGTATAGTTTTAAATTTGTTACAACAACTTGGTAACCTTGGTGATTATGAATGTTTGTTGTCACTCAGAGAATTACTTATGGACAACAAGTTGTGTTCCATAGACACTTTTTTCGGTTGTTTACAGGAAGCATATTACTATAGCGGTAGATTGGATGAGGCAGTTCTATTGCTGCGAATTCTTTATCATGATTTGAGAAATTACGATGATGTTGATATTTTTTTTACCTTGATTGGTGTTATGCTTCTACAACACTTCCCACACCGATTTGAACTTATTGAAAGTTTTGCCAAAGACTGTCGTGAAAAAGAATGGCCAGACCTTTTGCCAACAGCAGGCTTGTGGAAGTGTTTTGTTCTAACTGAAAATTTTGAAAAGGCTGAACAATTATTGACTACACACAGTGGAATTAAACAGAATATAGCACAAATGGCGAATCATATAGTGGAAAAGAAGAACAAAGTTGAGGTTGACAGACTTAGTGTGCTCAACTATTTGAAAGAGTCTTCCATAATTACAAAAGAAAATCTCAGAATCTCAATCTATCTCCATTTGCTAAGAGATTTAGGTAAGTATTTAATGTAGTTTTAAATAAAATAAATATAGTTCTTTAAGCTTGTATATAACATGTATAAAGATTGAAAGTATTGAACAAAACATGGTAAAGGGGGTATCTTTAAAATACATAAGCAAGACACAATCAAAAGCAATGACATGAATGAGGTAGATGTTTGGACAACCAAAAACTGACTAATATCAGGTGATTCAGAAAGATGAGCATAATGATTGCTTGATCCACTATAAATGTGATAAATACTTTTCAAATTGATCTCAAATATATATATTAGAAAACTGGTTATTTATTGTAGTTTAGGGATGTCAAACTATGGATGTTATGAGAAGGAAATTTTGAAAGGACTCTTTGTTGATAATATTGTTAAATCAATCTGTCAACAATTCAATGAAAAGTAAAATTAAAATCAACTTGTCAACAATTTGATGGATTGTAAATTTGTTTTAATTAGTGTGTCATATTAATCCAACACTGTTACGATTTTTCATATTCCTGGCTATGGTGTTGACACTTACATGTAGTATTCCCGTTGAAAAACAATTACCAACAATGCTTATCTTTTTCGGGGCATGTACCTATATATTTTATAAAGTTGTACATCTACATGAAAATGTACACATTATGCCTTTCACATACATGTACACTCTTTTGCCAATAAAAATTGTGAATGAGAGCCTTAAAAATTGGAGTCATTCGAAATGAACTTTTTTGATGCAATTATGTTTTTGACTTTGTGTACAATTAAAGTGTATTTGAATTGAGATCGACTTGCAGGTCTTTCACATGACCCTGACTTCACTGCTCATGTTTAGCAATTTGATATGTACTTTGTAGGATTTTTTTTTCTATATAAATGTATGCTGTTGATGTTGAAGTAAAATAAATGTCATTTTCATGCATAATGCAGACTGCTTATAAGTTGTTTATCCAGCATAGATTGAAATAAACTGATAAAACAAATGTTTGTCCATCTTTGTTTAACTCAAAGGCTTCTTAAAAATAACAAAGACCTGTACCATATGCATGTGTACTATACTGTATTTTAAAAAAAGTCCCCATGCATATAAACCAGTGAATTTTTTAGCGCACCTAAATATTGGTACACTTTTCATCTTTTTCTGAAAAAATATACTGTCACATGGGTGATACTATGGATAAAAGGAGATGGTTAGTATATGCTGTTGAGACAGCAACCCAACAAGCAACATATAAAATCAACAGGCATCACTCAGTCAACAATTGGCCTTGAATCATCAATACACCATAACACTTTTGTTCACCATTACTGGATATCAGAAAGGTTCCTGTCAAATTTTGACGTCACAAAAGAAAATGTCTGAATCCACAGAGGAAATTTGATTGTTTTATGACGTCAGTAGTTAAAATGCTGCAAATTCTCAGGTCAAGTGTCACAGATTCCCAAATAGCGACAAGTGCCTTTAAAATATGTAAAGCACAAAATCAAGGTTAGATTTTCTGTTTGCGGAACAATTTACAACTGTTTCATAAATTCATGGCATATAATTTAGAGATTATAGTTACATGTATCAATCTTTATTTTTAGTTCATGAGAGGAAGTGGAGTGCAGTTCTTGATTGCCTTAAAGAAGCAAAGGAAAGGCAGATGGTTTTACCTGTGGATGAGGTGAAAATGATAAGAGCTAAAGCAGAACAAGTCTTATTTAATGATGATTTTGATAATTTTACCCTTATGCAGTGCATAGACAAACTAAAAAAGTACAATTATTCTATAAAATCAGGCAAAAAAAAACCTGATAAATACTGAATATGAAGGTATCAGTCATTGTCAGTATCCAGATGGACTGACAAGTGAGTGCTTAGAAAAAAGTGACATATTTTTCTACATTCACAACTTTGTCTATTGTTAAGTGATTTAAAGCTATATAATTTATTCAGCATAAATGAAAATAATCTAGTTACTTCTGTCCAGCAATGTCTTTCTTAGTGTATTCTTAAAGTAGAAGATGCTTTTTGTAATATTCCCGACTTTTTCTGTTCACTTTATTTTTTCTACTTGTGGAAATCATGAAAATAAATGGCTTGTGAATTCGAACATTAATATGCATGTCAGTATGACATTGTTTTCATTTTTATAATTCCAACTTAACACAAAGTTTAGAATAACTATTCAGGTATACAATATGAAATCAAAATAGCACTTTATGAATTTGATGGTTCATAAGGGTTTTTCTGGATACGTAGTAATATAATACTATAAGACTTTAAGGTAGATGGGGTGTCTAAATTATAATCCATAGAATTTTTTAATAATTTGCCAAAATGTAGTTTATATCAAGCTTTTTTAAAAAAAATGATTAAAAGAATGGGTCACGGGGCTTATTTTCACGCTACAGGTTGTTCAAAATTAACAGATTTTGTATGGATTATGCATGGAAAACCCAATTTTCTGCCATAAAACGAAAACTACACCATAGAATTTTGAGATAAAATATGAGAAGATAGCTTTAATAGTATGCTTTCAGATAAGAAAAAGAAAAAATGGGGTCACCGGACCCGTTTTCTTGCTACATAATAAAATAGGTAAATTCCTAACACATTCTATTGTAAAAGTACCTTTATCTGAATTATCTGCCCTTACATTTGAGTTGCCTCCCCTTATGTGGCAAAGTTGGAAAAAATTGAATCAAACAAAAAGTTTTCTGTTTTTTGTAAAATACAACCATAAATATGATAAAACATGTCATTTTCTATATTGAAATGAAAATTCTTACACTTGAATTACCTACTACTCTCAAAATTTGCACATTCTATTAAAGATCTAGACCGATTGTTTTCAGGTATTACAAAATCCAAGATGGAGGAAGACACCCTATCTACCTTAAATAGACTTAAAATTGTCTTAAAGGACATGCTTAACGTACTTCAAAGTTTTAATTAGTACAATGAAAGTATATTTCACATGATGCTAAAAGTTTAATCTGTCAGAATGAAATACAGACCTAGTGTCAATGCTTTGCTTACAACAATATGTCAGCATTCTGCTTTTCTTTTTGTGTTATAATTATCACATCAACCAACAAATTCGTGACTTCATATTTTAATAGCAAAAATAGTGTATGTATCATTTTAGCCTATCTTGTAAAGGTCATTAGAAGAGAAAGTAAAAGAGAGAATGTGAGATCCTTGTATGTGATGAGAGGGGGTTGGAGGGGTCCTGATCCCGAAATCCTGGGCTTAAAAACATGAAATCCCGAGGTCCCGAATTTAAAGAAATTTAAATCCTGACATCCCGAAATTCGAAAAAAGAATTCCCGGATCCCGAAAGGATCAATCCCAAAATCCCGAGCTAAAAAACACCCAATCCCGGAGTCCCGATAAAGGTCCTAATCCCACCCTGTGATGTGTGAGCACAGGATCTGTATTTGAATCATTTCTTTGCAACATCATAAACTAAACAGAAGACTAAATGCAATAGACAACTTTCGAGTTGCATTTCCGTCAAAAACTTTGGTTTTAGTGAACATCGTTCATGTGTTTAGGGGCATCGTCACTTCCGTTACTATGCTGAGCGAGTGGTTGAAAAAATATGATACTATATTGCACGAATTATTCTGCAAATTAAATTCTTATAATTGCTCATCAGCACTGCTGTCATTAGGGAATTGTGATTAAGTACCTACGGAATATACATTATTTCTAGTTTATCCTGCATAATGACGATCACGAAGACGCTTGATGAACTTTAATAGTGCAGGGATACAGGCGATCCCCTCTATCTTGTAAATGACGTCATAAAGGCGTGCAAAATTGATGAAATTTTCCGTTGAAGGACATAACTCGAAAGTGGTCTATTTAGTTTTTATTATGATTTGTTTATAATTGTAAGTCATTTTGTGATGGTTTTATATCTATTCGTAATTGTCAGCACTTTTTTGGGAATTCTTTATTAGCTACAGTGTAGTAAGATATTTATACTGATAATGTTTGAAACATACCTGTGGGTTGGCATGTTAAAAAGAGCAGCATTGAATATATTATACATACATTTGTAATAAAGATTTAGTAATAAAAACTATTTATTTACTTATTTTATTGTGTGTTGAAATGCGAGTGCAGTTGTATTGAACAACATGAATTTGCATATACATATGTAACTTTACAAATACAAAAGGAATTCGGATTTATATAGATATATGTAGTATGATATTTTATGCCATAAAATTCCAAATTTACCTGTTTATTTTGAACAGGCAGATAAAATACAATGCAGCTGTACTTTAACCTTGAAATTTAAATTCCCTTGTTACTTTGTTTCTGGAAATAAACTCTATTAAATTCCAGAAAAGACTTCACTGTTTTCATTCAGAGTTGTTTTTATTTGACAACAAATGGCTATTTTTTTTAAAAGATGCTTGGCATAAATTTGAATAAATCTAAGGCTATATTCATGAAAAAATGTGTTAAGCACATGTTCTTGTAATTTCTGGGGATAGTTCCAAAATCAGTGCCAATTTACTATTTTTTAAAAAGTTATTCCCTTGAAAATATAAATTATACAGAAAATTTCATTGTACAATGTAAGTGCTCTCTAGCTAGAATTTCTTGTAGGTTTTTATGCAATTTATATCAAAGGTTAATATACCAACAATGTCTTGGACAAGTTTGAAACGCCAGTGCTAATCAACTGTTTTTAAAAGAGTTTATCTCTTGGAAAAGTAAATTCTATTTGGAAATAGCATTATGAATACTCTTTAACTAAGTAAACAATATTACGTGTCAGATTTTTATGAAAATTAAATCAAAGCTTTACATCAGGAATGTCTTGGATGAGTTCAAAAATCAGTTCAGAGCAACTATTTTTACATGAATTACATAGATATTAGAAGATGTGGTATGAGTGCCAATGAGACAACTCTCCATCCAAGTCACAATTAGTAAAAGTAAACCATTATAGGTCAAAGTATGGCCTTGAACACAGAGCCTTGGCTCACACCGAACAGCAAGCTATAAAGGGCTCCAAAAATGACTAGTGTAAAACCATTCAAACAGGAAAACCAATGGTCTAATCTATATAAACAATGAGAAACGAGAAACACTTATGAACCACATCAACAAACGACCACCACTGAACATCAGGTTCCTGACTTGGGACAGGTGCAAGCAAGCGGGTTGAAATGTTCTTTGAAATATAAATATAATTTATATAGAAAATTTCATTGTAAACACTATCACACCTACATTTCTTGAAATTTATATGAATGGTTTATATTATCAAGGTCTTGGACGTATTCGATATTCAGCGCTATTCAACTATTTTTACAGGAATAATGCCCCTTGGAAATAACAATTATATTGAAAATTGCATTGAGAGTGTTCTCATACCTACGTTTTTTGTAAGATATTTATCAAAAAATTAAGAACCTACAAAGATAATATTAGATTTATTGCTTTTCGACAATTAAAATATATGCTTCAACAAGGGGCATAAGAATACTTTTCTAGTATGATGTTATTCTTTTTAGTCACTTATTTTTCTAAACAAAATATTAGCTCTGTCACAAGTATGTACACAAATTAATATTCACACACAAATGAACAACTCTTTGAATATGCACATGAGGCATCCATCCACATGTCACCAAGTGATGTAGCTTTGATGACAATACACCCCTGATTTCCTGATTCTGGTTGTCCAGGGTACCAGTTGAAATATGACATAGTGGTGCCATCTTCTAATGCCCAACTCCCATCTTGTTGCTCTTCTCCTGCTATACAAACCCTTATGTGGGGTCTTTCATCTGAAAGTGCATTATTGTGAAAAAAAATGAAATATGATAATATTTTATAGCTCAATTTGAGAAAACAGGAAATTTCCACCTGATTAAAATGAAAAAATTACTATATATGTAACGTCACGGTACCCAAATTGCACTGAGTACCCAAATTGCACCTATTCAGCAAAAATAGCAGCGGAAATCTTACAAGTTTTCTTCGAAACTAAACAATTTGTATTTATATGATTTGACATTATACACGTCTTTCAACATAGGTAAATATATCTAAGTATACACGAATCGTTCACAGTATATATCAACAGATGAAGTATTCAATGGAAAATGTAAAATCTACGGAAATGTCGCCATGCGACGTCCACAAAAAGTCATCTTTTAAAAATGAGCAAATAAAATATGTTACAAGCATCTATTTCTTAAAAAAATGAATAGTAAGCATGGACTTGTGTCAAATTGTTCTAAATATTTAAAGAAATAAAACAAAACATCTGTTATTCGATTTTTAAGGATGTGAATTTAGCATGGATGCAATTTGGGTACTCCTCATTACAGAATCATGAGTCGTTTTGAGATCGGTTCAAACCCATTTTTGTATGATACAATATGGATTCAAAATTGTATTGGTGTAACTTTATAATAAATAAGGATACATCTACAAAATCAACACGGAATGGAAACTTTTGTCTGGATCAGGAAACTTTTGCCTGGATCATAAAAAACGTAGGTGAAAAAACTGTCAAAATTGGTGCAATTTGGGTACCCTCACGTTAGTCATTTAGAAAAATAGATTCAATGACATAATTTATCTTCATTTTAAAATGTTTAATTTGAATATATAATGTTATTTTGCTGTCCTGATAAGACCATTTTGGTTTCATTGGTTTTGCAAGACAGGTGCCACATGTGGAGCAGGATCTGCTTACCCTGCCGGAGCACATGAGATCACCTTGGTGTTTGGTGGGGTTCATATTGTCTAGTCTTTAGTTTTCTATGTTGTGTTTTGTGTACACTTGTTAATTTGTATTTTCGTCATTTTTCGTATTTTGCCATGGCATTGTCAGTTTGTTTTCGACTTATGAGTTTGAGTATCCCTGTTGTATCTTTCGCCTCTTTTTTATACGACCGCAAATTTTTTTGCGGTCATATATTGGTATCACGTCGTCGGCGGCGTCAGCGTTAGCCGAAGACATTTGGTTTCCGGACAATAACTTTAGTTTAAGTGTATGGATCTCTATGAAATTTAACCAAAAGGTTCAATACCACAAAAGGAAGGTTGGGATTGTTTTTTGGGGTGATGGTCCCAACCGTTTAGGAATAAAGGGCCAAAAAGGGGACAAAACAAGCATTTTTATACGACCGCAAAAAAATTTTTGTGGTCGTATATTGGTATGACGTTGGCGTCGTCGTCGTTGTCGTCGTCGTCGTCGTCTGGCGTCGTCCGGCGTCGTCCGAAGACACATTGGTTTTCGCACTTTAACTTTAGTTTAAGTGAATGGATCTCTATGAAATTTTACCACAAGGTTCAATACCACAAAAGGAAGGTTGGGATTGATTTTAAGGGGTTATGGTACCAACAGTAAAGGAATAAGGGGCCAAAAAGGGGCCAAAAATAAGCATTTTTGTATCTTCCAGATATAACTTGTGTGTTAGTGTATGGATCTCTCTGACATTGTACCACAAGGTTCCATATCACATTAGGAAAGCTGGGATTGATTTTGGGGGTAATTGCCTCAAAATTTTAGGAATTAGGGGCCAAAAAAGGGGCAATAAACAAGCATTTTTTTAGTTTCATGACAATAACTTGTGTGTAAGTGTATGGATCTTTCTGAAATTGTACTAGAAGGTTCCATATCACAAAGGGAAAACTGGAATTGAGTTTGGGGGTAATTGCCGAAACGTTTAGGAATTGGGGGCCGAAAAGGGGCCAAAAATAAGCATTTTTCTAGTTTCCAGACAATAACTTGTGTTCAAGTGTATGGATCTCTCTGAAATTGTACTGCAAGGTACCATACCACAAAGGGAAGGCTGGGATTGATGATGGGGGCAATTGCCTCAATATTTTAGGAATAAGGGGCCAAAAAAGGAGCAAAAAACAAGCATTTTTCTAGTGTCAGGACAATAACTTGTGTGTACGTGTATGGATCTTTCTGAAATTGTACTACAAGGTTCCATATCACAAAGGGAAAGCTGGGTTTGAGTTTGGGGGTAATTGCCTTAAACGTTTAGGAATTTGGGACCAAAAAGGGGCCAAAAAACACATTTTTCTAGTTTCCAGACAATAACTTGTGTTCAAGTGTATGGATCTCTCTGAAATTGTACTGCAAGGTACCATACCACAAAGGGAAGGCTGGGATTGAGTTTGGGGGTGATGAATCATAAGGGGGTTCAAAAAATTTGGGGGGGGGGATTTTTTTTTTTTTCCTTTTTTTTCTTTTTTTCCTTTTTTTTTTCTTTTAAAATTTTCCATTTTAAGTTGGTTATTTCTGATTTATATTTAAAAGCAAATAATAATGATATGGTAGGAGATACACACCAAACAGGATGTGTAAATTATTATATAATAAGTATTGTGCAATAGCAAGAAATTTTCAATTGCACAGTATTGCACAATAGCAAGAAATCTTCAATTGCACAGTATTGCGCAATAGCAAGAAATCTTCAATTGCACAGTATTGCGCAATAGCAAGACATATCCAATAGCACAATATTGCGCAATAGCAAGAAATTGTCAATTGTACAGTATTGCGCAATAGCAAGAAATATTTAATTGCACAGTATTGTGCAAAAGAAGATACTTCGTATAAATTGCTTATTTCTTGACCAATTTCAATGGGGTTTTATTCTTGAATTCTTGGGGTTCTTTAATATGCTGAATCTAACCGTGTATTTAGTTTTTGGATTTTGGGCCCCGTTTTTAAATTGGTCCACATTGAGATCCAAAGGGTCCAAAATTAAACTTTGTTTGATTTCATCAAAAATTGAATTATTGGGGTTCTTTGATATGCCGAATCTAACCGTGTATTTAGATTCTTAATTTTTGGTTCCGTTTTCAAATTGGTCTACATTAAGGTCCAAAGGGTCCAAAATTAAATTTAGTTTGATTTTAACAAAAAATGAATTCTTAGGGTTCTTTGATATGCTGAATCTAAACATGTATTTAGATTTTTTTCAAGTTGGTCCAAATCGGGGTCCAAAATTAAACTTTGTTTGATTTCAACAAAAATTGAATATATGGGGTTCTTTGATATGCTGAATCTTACCATGTATTTAGATTTTTGATTTTTGGGCCCCGTTATCAACTTTGTCCACATTGAGGTCAAAAGGGTCCAAAATTAAACTTTGTTTGATTTCATCAAAAATTGAATTCTTGGGGTTCTTTGATATGCTGAATCTAACCATGTATTTAGATTTTGGATATTAGACCATAATAGGTGAATGTCCAATTTAAAATTTTTAAGTTCTTAGACCACATTCATTCTGTGTCAGAAACCTATGCTGTGTCAAATATTTAATCACAATCCAAATGCAAAGCTGTATCAAGCTTGAATGTTGTGTCCATACTTGCCCCAACTGTTCAGGGTTCGACCTCTGCGGTCGTATCAAGCTGCGCCCTGCGGAGCATTTTATTCTAGTTTCAGACAATAACTTGTGTATAAGTATTTTGATTGCTCTGAAATTGTACCACAAGGGTCAATACCACAAGTAGAAGGCTGGGATTCATTTTGGGGGTAATTGCCTAAACCGTTCATGAATTAGGGGCCAATAAGGGTTTAAAACCAGCATTTTTCTAGTTTACAGACAATAACTTGTGTTTAAGTGTATGGATGTCTTATAATTTGTACCACATTTTACAAAAAGAAAATTTCTTCAAAATTAATTTTTTTGGAAGGGTGAAAGGGGGGGGGGGTGGGGTGGGGGGGGGGGGTAAAAAAAATTTGGTGGGGGGGGGGGGGGGCAATTTCTTTCCTGAAAAGAAAATTCTCTTCAAATATTATTTTTTTTGGGGGGGGGGGGTAAATTTTTTTCCCCTGAAGATTTAAGAAATTGTCAATTTTCCAAAGATAAATTTCTAATTGGGGGTCACAATTTATTTTGCTAATTCTTTGTATATAGTCTAATAACAGATTTACTAACTAGTATTGCACAACAGCACAGTGTATTGCACAACAGCACAGTGTATTGCACAACAGCAAGAAATCTTCAATTGAATATAATTAAATTCAAATCATACATTTGGATTCCGAACAATAACTTTAGTTTAAGTGTATGGATCTCTATGAAAATTTATCAAAAGGTTCAATACCACAAAAGGAAGGTTGGGATTATTTTTGGGGGTGATGGTCCCAACCGTTTAGGAATTAGGGGCCAAAAAGGGGCCAAAACAAGCATTTATTTTTACTTTCAGGACAATAACTTGTGTATAAGTATTTTGATTGCTCCTCTGAAATTGTACCACAATGTTCAATACCACAAGTAGAAGGGATGGGATTCATTTTGGGGGTAATTGCTCAAAAACGTTCAGGAATTAGGGGCCAAAAAGGGCCTAAAACAAGAATTTTTTAGATTTCAGATAATAACTTGTGTTTAAGTGTATGGATGTCTCTTAATTTGTACCATATTTTACAAAAAGAAAATTTCTTCAAAATTAATTTTTTTTGGAAAAAAGGGGGGGGGGGGAAGGGGATTAAATTTTTTTTTGGGGGGGGGGGGGTAATTTTTTTTTCTCAAAAGAAATTTCTCTTCAAATATTCTTTTTTGTTAAGGGGGGGTAAAAAAAAAATTTTTTCCCCAAGATTTAAGAAATTGTCAATTTTCCAAAGAAAAAAATTGGGGGTCACAATTTATTTTGCTAATTCTGAAAACAGATTTACTAAGTTTTGCGCAATAGCACAGTGTATTGCACAACAGCAAGAAATCTTCAATTGAATATAAATTCAAATCATACAACCAATTTCAAGTTCTTTGACTACATTTCTTCTGTGTCAGAAACCTATAATGTGTCAATTATTTAATTACAATCCAAATTCAGACCTGTATCAAGCTTGAATAGTGTGTCCATACTTGCCCCAACTGTTCAGGGTTGGACCTCTGCGGTCGTATCCAGCTGCGCTCGGCGAAGCAGTTTATTTATAAGTTCTATGCATATATCTTTCCATACTATTTTGCATAGCATAACAGTTTCTATGAATGTTATTTTGTAAATGTGTTGTGTATTTATATTAACCAGGGACATAGTTGCAATAATATTTTTAATTAACCAATACAAGTAAGACTATCAAGTCACATTTACTTTCAGTTACCACGTTAGAAAGTTTCCAATAGGCTTGATAGACACAACGGTCTTGCCTTAGTTTTAGGGGTTATTTAAAAAGATTGCATTGATGCAATCAAAGCACTCAGGGACTGGCTTGATAGATATATTTCCCATGCAGACCTCATCCTACCGTTGAGAGAACAAAAACATACTGCACTCTTTACGTCATATACATGTACATGTCAAGCAATTTATTAATGAAATATTCAAGTTAAAAATGATGTGAAGATGTATAAGCATTCTTTCCAAGAATTCTTTTTTTATTGAAAATTCCAGAAAGTTTGCATGGTGCATCTAAATGTTTTAAAAATAGCAATGAAATGTAATGTAATTTTAGAATGGTAGATATTTTCCTTGTCCATAATTGTGGTTGATTCAACTACAATTATTGAAAAAGGAAGATTTTCCAATTCAGAATATGCCCTTTATTTTTAAATACAATGCAATGTTTAATCTTAAGTTCCTACTGCAAAATAAATGCAATGTTACCCTACAGTGCTCACAAGCACTTTGATTACTAAATTATGCTGAGCAATAATGTTAGCTGGGAGATTTCTTGACACATGCATTGCACTTATGCTCACCTAGAAATTCTTTGAAGTAGCTGTTCATTTCATCTGAGGAAACCGCAGCAAGTTCTCCACCTCTTGATGAGCAGAATGCTTTGATCTGTGTAAAATCTATTGGATCACTTTCATGTATGCTGTAGCAAAATTGAAGTTGCCTATAGTAAATATGTTCTGCATAACAGGTGACTGTAGCTGCAAATATCATGACAAAACTGATTAAATGCTGCGATGGTTAATTGAGTACAATGTAAAACATATGTTTCTATTGTCTTGAATTTCACACAACTCTGAGACAAACCCCCATTTTACTATCCACACTTTGTTTCTTAGTGTGGATAGTAAAATGGGGGTTTGTCTCAGAGTTGGTAAAATCACTCGAAACTAGGTGAGACATGCGCAGTAGTGATAGATATGTAGTTTAAATATAGAAAATTGAATATTTTAATAAAAAAAAAATAAAAAAATATCTGTATCATATACCCAAGCGCCTGTGGAATTTCGTTTTGATAAAATATCGAAAAGGCCAAAGATTGGTTCTTAAATGAAACTATGTCAATGGCCTTAATTTTAAGTAAAACAAATATCTTCATAAGAGTACATTATAGGCGCCAAAGTCAATACATGTTCGAGCTGTTTTAAACAAAATGCGCCAAGGTGTATACTACATGTAAATCCTTAGACCATAAAAGAACAGAAAGTAAAGCCAAATCTGGATATCGGTCCATGTGTAGATATGTATAGAAATTCAAAAGGTGACTAAACAAATAAATGTCTGCTTTAAAAGGATAAATACTAGCTACTATAAGATATACTGCTATTAAGTGGAAGACAGTCCCCCAAGACGTCAATGACCACCCCAGACGATACAATTTATGACAACTGATGTTAAGTATACAGGAGATACTGTTACTGTTAATTATGTTATATTTTTTCAGAATGAATATAAAAAAGCCTACCACCAGTTGCCACAAAATATTTCCAATACACGCCAGTTCCACTCGGAGGTTCATTCGAATAAAAACGCTTAGAATGCAAAACACACTCGCCTGTATCCGATCGCGAGTTGTAAAAGAAAGAAACACAGCGATCGTTATTATTGCAATTCATTGTACATTCATTAAGTGAAAGTGCAGGTGTATTTTCCAATGAAGCTGAATATTCAAAAAATCCATTTAAGTCTGATACCAGTACTGCTTTTAATATATTTGTTCTTAGCATTGCCAAAGAAACACTTTTTAACGCAGTTAATAAAAGAAATTGACGAATGATTTTAGTTTCCATATCAGATTTATCTATCCGGCTGCAACAATTATTAAAAAAGTAGTTGGGTATGAGGGTCTGGATGGGAATTACAGAATAGAGAATAATCAAAACAAAAACAAATAGAAATAAATGAGCCCCCTCCCCCCCCCTACCCCCCCCCTACCCCCCCCCCCCCTACCCCCCCCCCCCCCCCCCCAAAAAAAAAAAATATGGAATAGATAATAATGGGGTTCTATAGTTGTGAAAAATTAAAGAATAAGGTAACAAAATACTGATTACAGAAATAAAGGATGCACAGAATAAAGAAACAAATCAATGGCCCCCATCCAGACCCTCTGGTATCGGAATTCTAACAGAAATACGATACTTACTATTGAAATATATGTTTTGACTCCGTGATGTATACAATAGAGAAAAGAATAGTTAACTAACATCAATCATTTTGCCTTTGTCACATATTTGTTAAAAAAAATAGTTGCTATGTTACTTTAATTGAAAAAAAAAAGAAAAACAATGCCAAAGTTAAATGATAAACATTTATTAGGTGCATTTCAATTTTATTTGCAACTGTTTACAGTGACTGCTTGTGTTTAGTATGCATAGTTTTTGTTATGTTTTAGTTACACTGCAAATAAACTTATCTCTTAACAATACAAATGAAGTGGTTATTTTTGCTGCATAAATCTGTTTGACACCTGTTATAGACTATCATAGAATGACGTAAAATGCGTTGAACTCTTATTTGATTGTATTGTTAGGCCCTTCTCATTCACTTTTTCTCCAAATTTCCGTATTTTTTTAATATAAACGTCAAAACCAACCCTATAGAATAGTGCTGTATATTGCTGTTGAACACAGCCATTTTGATACACTGGGCGTTAAGCAACCAACATTAATCAATCAACCACTTGGTTCCAATTGCATATTGTATATATTTTCGTAACATTTTGCTTCGAAGGAAGTTTATAATCAAGATGAAATATTGTGTATCCGAAAAAAAAGCTGTCTTAACTATGGATTTCAGAGAATTCAATTGGTTGTGGGATGTCACGTGCTGACCATGTATATTTTATAAACAGTATGGACAAGACTTCAGTATCGTTATTGGCATTGTCATATATTATAAAAATCAAATGTATCAATAGCTTCTCATGGTTTTTGTCTCGCCTGTGACGAAAGTCGCGGAAAGCGAGACATAGGGCTTGCTTTCCCGGCGACGGCGACAGCTGCGATGACGGCGTCAACAATTGTTAAGTTTTCTGCTTAATAGTAATTAGTTCTTTGTGATAGATCATTGATATTTTGTATGAAGATGCATTGCTATCAGTACAGTTTGACGACAATTTTGAGGCCTTGTCCCCTTGGCCATGGTCTAGTGACTGAATTAATTAGCAATTTTAAATGTTAAGTTTTCTGCTTTAAAAGTTAGACTGATATGAACTACTTGTGATAGATCAATGATATTTTGTATGACGTTGCATTACTATCAGTACATATCAGTTTGACAACTATTTTGAGGCCCTGCCCCCTGGGCCATGGTCCACTGACTTTGAATAAATTAGCCATTTTAAATAAGTTTTCTGCTTACGTTAGTTTGATATGAACTACTTCCTATAGATAAATGATATTTTCTATAAAGCTACATTACTATCTGTACACATCAGTTGGACGACTATTTTAAGGCCCTGTCCCCTAGGTCATGGTCCACTGACTTTCAATCAATTAACAATTTTCAATGTTAAGTTTTATGATTAAGTTAGTTTGATATGAACTACTTACAATAGACAATATTTTCTATAAAGTTACATTGCTGTCTGTACATCTCAGTTTGTCAACCATTTCGAAGCCCTACCAACTAGTTGGTCCAGCGACTTTGAATAAATTAGCAATGTTGCTGTCAATCAGATTTTCTATTTTCTGAATTTTATGCCGACAGGCGAGACTTATCTCTGTGTCAACAGTTTATTTTTCCAAAGTATTATTATATAGTCTAGAGGATATACTATATTCCACAGTCTATCAATGACCTAATATGGTATATACACGATCGGTTTATGATATGTAGGGACTCAAGTACGCATCACCCCATATACAATTTACTGACCGGATATATACTATATTAGGTCACTGACAGCCTGTGCACTATATATTACCTCCAATAGAACTTTTGTAAAAAGAAAATCCTGTTATGCATTTTTTTTAATTAAATCTTCTTAAGTGTGGTTTTAATTGATCTATCTTTGGGGGTTTAAATATAATTAGAAATACTATGTCAGAATGATTTTATGCGTATACATGTACACAGATGGAACTATGACACTATGTTTTGTGAAGATTGAAATATTTCTTGAAAATAACCTTAATTGTTTGAAATAAATTTATTCTAATATTTTTATATATATAGATAAGTCGAAATCCGGATATGGTGAACCAATTTTTGCACCTCATGTTTGCGGTATACGATCTTTTCCGCAAGTTTATTGTTTTCTGTTTGGTATTAAATTAATAATTAAGATCCATTTTGTTACATCTGATGATCCGTTTATTTGGCAATCGCCATGGCAGTCAGCAGGTTTTAAGAACATCCGTTATTCGACCTGCTAGTCAAATCCGTTTGTTAAACTATACTTTTTCACTTTTTTGGTCTTTTGGACAATGTTGTTTGTGTTGTATTTAGACCCCTCTACCAAGAAATTTGTTTTGCATGCATACGAAGAAAAATTGCGGTTTTTATCAAACGCAATCATAGGTTTGAACGTTGTTTTCAATTTATACTTGTTTATTTATATATATATACACACAATTCAGCTAATGTGGAAAACCTAAGTGCATATTAAGTAGTTGACTTGCCCTAACGTTCAAGTAACTTCTTAAAAGAACCGACTTCATTCATTAGATGGCTGATTCTCATCCTTGCAACTTTTATGCCTTTGTGTGTGTTTTTTTAAATCTGTTGTCGCATAGACATAAATCCAACTTCTCTTTCAATCTATATGCAATATTCATCAATTAAAGTTAAGCAGGTGGATTGTTATGTATTTGTTTCATAAAATATCCTTCGTGTATATTACATATATCAAAAAGAGAAGTGGAAGATACCAAAGTGATATTCAAACTCACAAGTCGAAAACGAACTGACAATACCATGGCAAGAAAGAAGTAACGAACAAAAGACAAACGGCAGAATACAAAACACAACATAGAAAACTAAAGAATGAGCAATACGATACGCACCAAAAAACGGGGATGATCTCGGGTGCTTCGGAAGGGTAACCAGATCCTGATCAACAAGTGGCACCCATCGTGTTGCTCATGTGAATACAAACCCGGTGAAAAGTCTATAAATAGGTATAAAACGTTCAAACCCGCTGCATTTGTTTGCACCTGTCCTAAGTCAGGGACCTGATGTTCAGTGGTTGTCGTTTGTTGATGTGGTTCGTAAGTGTTTCTCGTTTCTTGTTTTTTTTATATAGATTAGACCATTGGTTTTCCTGTTAGACAATGTTTGAATGGTTTTACACTAGTCATTTTTAGGGCCCTTGATAGCTTGCTGTTCTGTCTGAAGCAAGGCTCCGTGTTGAAGTCAGTACTTTGACCTATAATGGTTTACTTTTACAAATTGTGACATGGTTGGAGAGTTGTCTCATTGGCACTCATACCACATCTTCTTATATCTATGTCATGTTCGAGGGAAAAAAGGGCGCGATTGTAGTAACGATAATTGGAACAAATCCGTCGTCATCTGTGAAACAGATATTCCATAACGGTAAACCAACGCAACAATTATTAAAAGCATTTATTGAAAGTTCTGTAACGTTAACGGAGTTTCAACAGAAATACGATAATATTAAAGTATCTAACAAGAATGTTGATGTTGTGATATATATCATAGAAAAACGATAAATTAATGTCCATTCATTATTTTGCTTTTGTAAAATTTAAAGAAACTAATTTCTAGTTTACTTCGTATTTGATTTGACCCTCCAACTGTCTTGAATCTATCGCCACTCAGCTGATGAGTTTTTTTTTCGTAGACGAAAGGCTCGTCTGGCGTAACAAAGTTATAAGACAGGGCCCGTATGCATAAAGCTACTTAAGTTAAGATTTGTTCCGAACGGACGGATTTTTCTACATGTCCTACGATACATTAGTACGATTGGATATCTTTGATGAGTTTTTACCAAGCACATAATTCGAAATAAATTATTTAGAAAAAGAAAACATTCAGGTGGTCATACGACGCTTCAAACGAATATGCGATGCATTTTTAACTTTAGCAATCACCTTATCAGTATCTGTATTTACCAATTTCCTGTTTGGTACTTCAGTGCTGTTTGGTATGAATGTAAAACTACATGTAGTACTTACAGTTATAGTTTTTGCAAGATTACAAATAAAACTGAGGTATAAACACTTAAACTACTGATTTTGCCTAAAAATGTATAAATATTTGTATGGCATCTGTTGTATCCCTTTGAATATAATGGACGACCGTAATATTGTTGACTTCTTGTTGTCTGATTGTGTTGTTGGGTCACTGTCTATTAAATAAAATTAACATATACTTCATATCTTCTTTTATTTGATGTAATGATAAACATAGTCAAATTTTAATTACAAAATTGCAATTTTACAGAATCAAAACTTAGCAAAAATGATAATTATGAAAATTGCTGAGACAGCAAAAAAAAAAAAAAAATAATAATTATAACACGTGCACAAACAGGTGATAAAAATATATTCCAAAGAATTTAAAAGATTATAGGTTATAAGTCGATGAGACAGAGGCCCGACACTATCAAAGTCATAATAAACCAGGATGACAACCAGTCATATAGTATATTAAAGAAGATTCTGAAAGTCGTTGGGATAAGGGGATAGTGAATGATTTTTGTAAGATAATGACATTCAGCAGGGGCAGACCCAGCATTTTTGAAAGGAGGCGTAATTCCCGATAATTGAATTTATATATATCGTGCAAATGATATTTGTTTTAATTTTTAGCGATCAAAAGGGGGATACGC